TTGCAGGTCAAGATAAAAATGCTGTATGTGCCATTAGCTGTCAAAACTATAACTAGCTTAAATCAGTGCAATTAGATTGCTCATGGATTACAGGAGCGACTGCTACAGCTATTCATTCCACATGCTGCACGATTAAACTACGGACTTGACATTAAAGTGACATGATTAAAAGCAAGTGTCAAAGACTCAGATCTATGGAAAGCTCAGCAGGCAGGGTTAAGTCCACAGCTTCTTTAGAGGTCTTCTGGGGTTGAACACTCCAGGGTCTGGGAATGATCTCCAGCCCCTCAGCAGAGCCAGCTCTGCTTTTAAGTCTGTAATGCCATCTTGTGATTATATCCGGGAAGTGGAGACCACAGGGTCCCCTCTGTGGAGTTTAATGAAGCACGTGGCTTTTGTTCAGGCAGATGGAAAGCCCAGAAGTACCCCTGTTTAACAAGTTCAGGGCTAAGAGGAGATCTGTCTCTGACAGAAAAGTTCCTGCTCTTGCTTTGAGAGAGTGAAAATGATTCGTTTCATTAATATTTATCCTTCTAGTTCAATTCTCTGGCTAAGAAAGCAATTTCTTCCAGGCTGAAGAATTTGATTTAGGTCTCTCTTTAGGTACTGAGGGCTAATTTTCTCTTTCATTGTGGAAGGAAATAGTGTCACATTCAAGCAGTAAAGGCACTTTTCTTCCCTGATTGAAGCCAGAGAGTTCAGTGAGGTCAGCTTTGTTGTAAGCATCCACACCAACTTGAATGCTGAGATGCACTCTAAAGGGCATGGAGAACCAGCATAGGAAACACAGGATCTGTAGAGCTAGAAGCAGCAAAAACAACCACCAGCTGCATCAGCTGTCAGGAAACAGAGCACGGGGCAGCCAGCTGTCTGCTTACCCCTCGCATTGCACTGCAGACACACAAGGCAGGACGAGTCAGTCAACTGCTTCCTGCCCAAGGGAGGCAGATGTTCTTCCTGGGTGCAGGGACATGTGTTCATGCAGGTCATTGTATGCAGGCTGCTCCTCTCTTACACAGCCTACCCTGCCTTGTCCCACGTGGTGCTGGGCTTGTTCAGCACACAACAGCCACAGCTCTGTGCTGGGAGGGTCACTGGTGCTCAAGGTGAGGAGTGTTGGATGCTCTCCATTTAGCACTGAGGCTCACAACTCATTAACTTTCCCCATCCTATCCCTCAAATATCTCAGCAAGAGGATCCTGTGCCAGAACTCCAATGAGCTGCACCACAGGCCAACACAGCCCATCTGTGGAGGCAGAGCCTTTGGTCTTGTCACATGTGAGGTGTCTCCACGGGGTTTTTTCAACATTAATTGCCCACAGAGGATGTGCTTGGAAGAGATCCTCCCAGCACATGTTTCCAACAGGCACATCACCCCAACTGCACCCAAACCAAACGGGGTGGTCAAACTGGAAAGGGCCTGAACAAAAGTCACCAAAGGAGGCATGCCAGGAATGAAGGACAGTATTTTCTCAGCTGTGCTCCAGGATAGAAAATCCAGAGTTATCACCAAGGCTGATGCAAAGCTACAGTAATGGAGGAACAAGCAGACAGTTGGTACTTTCTGATCTTTTCTTGAAGTCTTTCTACCTATGACCAGGGCCCAGACAATGAGCCCTGCCAAGCCCTGAGCAGACTGCTTAAGCAACCACTCCAGTTAGAACCAGTATAATTCATGAATGCAGTGTGGGGCCCATACTCAGAACCTCAAGATGTTTTCAGCAGCACCAAGGAGATGCTTCCAAAGCTTTCTGAATGCCAAATATCAGAAGTCAGTGAATCTGAACGTCAGGAACACCCTGTAACTTCACAACACGGGTTTCCTTGTGTTCCTGCACAGCTTTCCTATCTAGCAGTTGGGCACGGAGCATTGTTTCATCTCATGCAGCGAGGCAGACTCAAGCACACGCTTTTTTATCCAAAAGCTGTTGCACCAAGTGAAGCACATCAGCTCTGCCATGGGTATCGAGTCAAGCACACTCCCACCACAGCTTCCTGGCAAACGTGCCTCCTACACCTACTACAGCCCTTCTGACTGCTGACAGAATGCTCCTGGGACAGGCTGAGCCCAGCAATGCCTTGCTTGGAACCTGTGCCGCAGCAGCCCTGCCAAGCACCGGCTTGCCGAGCCGAGTACAACCACACAGTGAGTGCAAACAGCACCTGGCAGGGCAGCAGGTCCTCCTGTGTGCCCGAGCTGCTGCCAAGCACTGCACACAGCACTGCCTGCCTGGGCTGTCCGGCTGCCAACAGCTTTCATAGGGGTTTCATCTGCTTAATTGTGCTGTCCTTCCTCCTCTCCCAGGCAGGATTTCAGCTACAGCCGATGTCAGCAAACATCTCATTATTTTTGATACTGAGGCACTCGCTGGGCCTGTTGTTCATCTTAGCCTGGTGGCAGCTGAATACATTCTCTTTTTCTTCCACGAGTGCGGTGTCAGAGATTGACAAGTCGAGACGCTTTGTTTCAAGGCAGATTAGAGCTAGCAGCTATCACAAACAGAAGCACCGCCAGCCTTCACAAGAGCTCCTCTCGCCTAGGCAGAGCATCCCTGAACTCCGCGCAGCCCAGCCAGCACCGCAGCGACGCGATGGGCTCCGGAAGCCTCTCGAGTCAGCGCTCAACTACCTGAGAGCCACGGGGACAGCGGCTTCTAGGCGTTACGGCCCGCCCCGCGCCCGCCTGGAGGAGCGGCCCGGGCTCGGACCCGCCTCGAGGGGCGGCGCCTGCGGAACCACCCGGGCGGCGCGGCCAGGCGCGGCCTCTTTGGGCGCGGGCGGCCGCGAGGTGAGGCTGCGGTTTGCGTTCAGCGCGTGTCCCGCAGCGCCGAGCTGCGCCCAGCGGTAGTCAGCCTCCCCCGCTGCCGTGCGCGGGCGGTGTTATGCCGCTGGCAGAGCAGCGCGCTGCCGCGCAGCCCCGGCACGCCGTGCCGTTCTGGCCTCGGGGCGCCGGGGTCGGGCAGCCTCCGCGTGCCGAGAGTGGGGAGCTCCGGCGGGTGGAGCCGCTCCTAGATGGGGTGCGGACAGCGCTCGGCTCGGCTCTCCGCGGAGCGCCTCGTTTAACGCTGCGTCTTTCGAGTGAAAACGGAGCCCGGGGGGTGAAGCGGTAAGAAAGGGATGGGTGCGACTCGTGTTAACTCTTCTGCGTGTGCTTAAATTGCAGGCACGTGGATTCGCGCGTTCCTGCGGGCTGTCCGAAGAGACAAAAGAAGCTGTCGGTGCTGCCCTGACGGTCCCACGTGGGAGGGTTTGCGCGAAGGAAGCTCAGAAGCCACGCTGCTCCCAGAGGAGCGATGGTTTCAGGATCCGGCATTAGCAGATGGAAGTAGCGAAGGGCGCTGCGTGTGAGGTATAATGAGAATTTCACAGTCGGTTGGTGGTTAAGCCACGCTTACTGCTAGTTCAAAATCGTATGGTTTTCTTCGGCCTATTTATTAAACTTACTTAAACGTGGTCACTGTTGTTTCTGTTGTGTGGTACGGATATGGGAGGACTCGCGGTGTTGAATGCAGCCGAGAGGGGCAGGGAGGTAACGCGGCACCCCGTCCCTGCTGTGTGTGCAGGCTTCCCTCCATTGCTTCTGCAGGGAGATCTGTGCCACGGTTTGCCTCCTCTCCTGCCCTGTTGCAGGCCTGGAGGAAGATGCTGCTTAATTCAAAAGTGGGCAACTGGGGAGGGGGGGGTTTCATTCCCACCATAATGCCTGACCATCTCAATGCAGCGTGGTGAGCAGAGCTCCATGTTCCGTGCACGTTTCTGTAATGCTGCAGGATGAGCAGCTTTTTCAGGGTAAGGTTTGCCAAGTTCTGTGGTTTTGAGTCACGCTACGTTACAATTAACATATAGATGCTGCTGTAGCTGATGTGCTGTGTACGAATAAAATGAGAAGCAGTGATGTGAGCCTTTCCCAAACACCTGGTGCTGTTTTCCTGGGCACAGGGTGCTGAGCGCTGGGCTGTGGGGCACACAGGCTGGCTGCTGCCCTCAGGAGGGGCAGGAGCTTGTGTTCTTATGGCCTTTAACCTGCCAAGGAACAGGCATTCTGGGTCAGAGATCTCTCCTGTATTTCTGGAACTTGGCAAGAAATAGGAATATCTGCTCTCAGCCACAAAAAGCATGGGTTGTGTGGGCAACAACGTGCCAACTGACTTCTTTCCTTGAGAAAAGTGATAGATTCACCGCTGGGCTGAGCTGAGACTTTGAGGGCTGGCCGCACTGTGACACGAGAAGCAGTAGGAGGCGCAGCGATGGTTCATCGGTGTGACCCCAAACTCGCCCGCTGCTGGCAGCAGCGCTCGGGGCGCCCTGCAGAGCTCTGCTCAGCGAGGGGATGGAGACAAAACCCGCGGTGCCGAAATGAAGTCAGGAGCGGCCAGACCCGGGGGGCTGCCAGGAAAGCCGCCTTTCCCCGGGAGCTGCGGGCTCCCGCAGCGCCGCTTCCCGGCCGGTGGCGACACGGATCGCACGGCCGCGGAACGGGGCAGGGAGCGGCGCGACAGCCGAGGGGCGTTAAGCCACGGGTGTTCGCGTCGCTTCGGCGCTGCTGCCGGCGGAGGGCGGGAGCGAGCAGCGCGTTCCCCGCTGTCGGCGCCAGGTGGCGCCGTGCGCCGTGCGAGGGAGGCCGCGCCGCCGCCGCCGGTTTGTGGTGCTGTTTTGTTTTTTTTTTTTCCCCTTTGCCAGAACATTCTAACGCGCCCGGCGGGGCCCGGAGCCCGTGCTGACAGACGCCTCCGCGCAGGTAACGGCTCCGTCCCGCCGGGCGCCCGGCCTAGGAGCGGCGGGACTATGGGCGGCCGCGGCCCGGGGCAGGTAACGGCGGCGCGCGGGGCCGAGGGAGGCGGAGGGCGGGCGCGAACCCGCAGCCCCGCGGCCGGGGGGCGGAGAGGCGCGCGGCCAAGCCCCGCCCCGGCGGCAGCGCGCGGCCATGAGGCGAGGACCGGCGGAGCGGCGGCGCTCTCGCGAGAGCTCGGTGAGCGGCCTCCGCCTCTCGCGAGACCCGGGCCGGCGGCGCCTCCCTCAGCCCGGCCACATCCCCACAGGCGGAGCGGGGCGGCCGGCGCCGGCGAGCGGAGCGGAGGAGCGGGGCGGCCGCCGGGCACGTGAGCGGGGGGCGGCGGGCGGCGGGCGGGCGGCGCTCTCGCGAGCGCGGCGGGACGCGCAGCCGCTTCTCTCCGTCCCTCCTCCCGTCCCTCCCCCGCCGCCGGCGCGACGGCGAACGGGAGGCGCCGCCGCGGCCCGCAGGTAGGAGCGGCGCCGCCGCGTGCCGGGCCGCGGCCGCCGCTCTGAGGGAGGGAAGGAAGGAGGGAGAGAGCGGGAGGGACCGTTAGGAGCCGCGGCGGGGGGAGGGGAGCGGGCCCGGCGCGAGGCCGCTGCGTGAGGCGCCGCGCGCATGCGCGCCCCCCGCCCCTCGGGGCCGCCCGCAGCGCCCCCGCCCGGCGGCAGCGCCGGGCCGAACAAAGCCGCGGCCTCGGAGCGCCGCCTCCCGCCCGGCACGGCACTGCCGGCCTGCCGCGCGAGCGGCCGGTTCGTGCGGGGCTGGGCCGCGCACGAGGCCGGAGGAGGGTGATGGAGGAAGCGCTCTTTCTATTCAGTTTCACTTTCGTGTCGTTGGGGCCGCCGCAGCGGTGCCGCGCTCGTAGCGCGCTGTGCGCGCAGTGTGTTTGCAGTAAAACGGCGGAACCAGCTGTGCGAGCCTCGGCTGCCGCACTGCTCCGACGGAGCCTTTATGCTGCGGAGTGGAAGCTGAAAAATCCATCTGAAGTCTATGGCCGTTTTCCTTTCGGTCCCTTTGGGAAGAACGTCCAGTGTCGTTCTCAGCCTCCGAATAGGGCTCTTCCATCCATCTCCCAATTCTAAGGGCTTCGGGGCTGTGGGTGGGTGCTCTGCTAACCCCCCCCCCCCCCCCCCCCCGGACATGGGCAGAGAGCTGCTCCTGTTGGACACTTCTTGTGTGTTTCCCGCAGCTCTGTGCCTTGTGAGCACAGCGGCAGCCTTTTGTATTGCTGAGAGTGCTGCTCGATCCCTCTGAACCTTGGAGCATAACGTGTTAAAAGTCATAATATATCCAAGCACCTTCTCTTCAGAATGTAGCAAACCGCATGTTAATGTTTTTAATATGTTATTCTGAAGCTAATGAACTTTTGTCTTGAAATTGTATTCGGGGAGTGATTCATGAGTGAATGATGTGGAATAACAGAATGTGGGCGAGGATGCTGGCAACTGGAACTGACCCTGGAGGTGTACAAGGAACGTTTAGGCATTGTGTTGAGGGATGTGGTTTACTGAGGACTATTGGTGACAGGTGGATGGTTGCACTGGATGATTCTGTAGGTCTTTTCCAACCTTGGTGATTCTGTGATTCTGACTGAGCCCTGTGCAGATGTGTGCTCAGTATCCCTGCCCTTTGTCCTGTGCTGGGCAAGGAGATGAATTCAGAGTGCAAATATATTCTCTTCTTTTTCAGAGGGAAGATCTCTTGCTTGTGGTTCTGATGTTGGTTGTAGTGCTGTGAGCCTGTTTTGAAAAGCTCTCTGAAGTTACCGTGTTCTGAAAACTTCAAGTCCCATGTTTGCACATGCCCATAAAAATGCTCATGAATTCAGTGAGAAATGAGAAATACTGCATGCAGCCCTTCTCTGCCATGCACACACCCTGAGCTGAACGCTGAGGCAGCCCTTAGGTGGCTGTTGGAAGCAAAGCTGCAGAGAAAAGATTTTATTTCAGCCTCTTTAATTTATGAACATGTTGGTGCAGCCTCTTTGCTGCTTGCATTTTTTCTCAGCGCTCTCAGTCTTAATACCAAATCCCCCACTGTATTTCTCAGCTAACACGCTGTGCAGGGCTCTCTGTGCTGTGTTGTGCAGCCAGAACTCAAACAGGAGGGTTTTCCTTTCGGCATGCCTGCAGCTAGAATGCATCTCTGGCATCAGGAGCACTGCTTGGGAAAGAATGCACTGTTATCCCTGTTCTTGAAATGCCTGCAGGCAGACTTGCACTCGTTGATTAGTCAGAAGGCTTTTTAATTGCTTAACAGAACAAAATACACAAGTTAAAAATTAAAAAAAAAAAAAGACAATTAGCTCTCTGTTAGAATGCTGCTCTTGTTCTCTGGTTTGATCTGTCTACTTTGAAAAAGTGGTGACAGTATGTGCCTTGCCTGTAAGAGTATTTATCTCCAAAACTGATGAGAATGAATAGGAACTGCCTGCTTTGATAAGAGCATGGGCATATGGTTAGTGATACTGGAGTGTCCAGCCTGGGATCCTAGATGGTTCTGTTCTGCAGAGCTTTGTGGGGCAGTGCTGGAGGCTGTACGTGTGTGTAATGCTGCTGCCTGCTGATAGTCAACAGAGGGCTGCAGGAGTAGGAAGGAGTGCCTGGAAGCTATAGAAGTAACAGCCCATTTGTGGAGCAGTCAGTGCATGTGGTGGCTTTTATTCTGTGTATTCTCGGCCACTCGTATTTCTGTTTCTTAAAATACACTTTTTCCTTCCTATACTCTTCCTGTGGTGTCCCAGGGGTCTTTGCTTCTGTTGTTTGTGTAAGGGAGTCAGTACGCTCTGCAGCTTTATACAGAAAGGGGTGTTTGAGTTGATGAAATTACGTAGTGAGCAGAAATAGGAGCTCAGCATCTTATTGTTACAGTGCTCTGTTGTGCACTCAATTGTTAGAAAGTGGGTCAGTTCTTTAGGATGTCTTAACTGCTAAAGTAGTTAATTTCCCTCTTATAAACAAGTCTTTTCATGTGTAATTTCTCCGTTCTGAAGCAATCTTCTGTTGCAGTAACTTCAGATCTCAGATTACCACCTGCTCCTCTGATCAAGCAACTCACAGAGATGAAGCTGAACATAATCCTAAAAGTCGGGGCTGTTTCAGTTGTTCTGCAAGGCCTGTAAGGGCTGGCTGAGCTGCCCAGCACAGTGCATGCTGCCATGGAACTCATGCTGCTGAACTCTTTTGAGGTCATAACCTTTGAAGATCGCTTCAGCATTAAATGTTGTTTCCTAGCCTGCAATACTCTGGATACTGATATCTGAAATGGGTGATCTGTATGTTCTGCATGTGAAGCTGCTGGGCATTTTGATCTTCCTCCTTTACCTTTTGGAAAAACGGTGGCCATTTATTGTCCAAGCTGAAATGATCCTGTTGGCTTGGGATCAGTGCTTTGATGGTTCAGCAGCCAGAAAACATCTGCATCCAATTTCCTTGCAGGTTCTTGTGTTCACTACCGTTATTTCACAGAGCAACATGGGGAGCTGTCAGTCCAAATCTGTAACTTCCAGATCTCCTGTAGATAACCTTTGTGCCATAATGTGTTGTGAATGGTTTGCTGAGAAACCTATGGCTTCTTCTATGGTAGAGTAAGTTGTTGCAAAACGAATGGCTGCACACCTCAAGGAGAGGAAAAATCTGCGCCTCTTGGTCTGAAAAGTGGGGATTTCAGAGAGGAAACTTTATTTGAGAATTTCATTTCAAAGCTGCACACTCTTCAAAAGTCTTAATGCTGCAAACTGAGGATGTATTTTTCAGCTTCTGAATTACTTCGTGACTTCATTGTAGGTGGATTTACTCAAAACACATTGAATTTAATCAAACTGTGTTGTTTTTTTAAGTGAAAGTGAAACTGAATAGAAAGTGAACATCATTTCTCATTTTTGAGACTTTTCTATAAATAGTGGAAGAAAACTGGGTAAAAGATGTGTTATAAGAGATCAAGGAATTTAGGATCAATGTGTACACACATAGGAAAGGTGGTGGAAGGAATAGGAAGCTGTAACACTTCCACAGGAGGTGCTCATTTAAGATGGCTGGTGTGATCAAACTGTGAGAACCTGGGGACCAAACTTTGTGAGAAACAAAACTAATTTATGTGGAACCAGAACTCAGTCAGTTCTATTGGGAGTAATCCATTTGCCATAAAAACCAAAGTCATTCTGTAGTGTTTGAGAAATCAGCCTTACGGCCTTACCTGGGCCTTCATTTGGCAGCTGTGTATCTGTAGGATTCAAATTCCTTGCTTTTGTTGTCTGCCTTTACAGAAAGCTCTTGTGCAACTTTCAGATACAGTTTTATCACTGTCCACATTGGTCTGGAAATCTGTTAACGCTTTGGCTTTAAACTTACTTCAGGATAGCTTCATATGGTGTATTTTCAAATCTCGCTATGTCCAAATTTCTGACCACAGATCTTAAAAATGTATATCTGAAACCCTGTCTGTTCCTGTTGTAGCTGAAATTACATGAAGAGCAATTAGTGTAATACTTTCAGCTGAGCTAAATCGTATCTGGATCTTTTGATGGCTTTGTTCAGCCGCACTCATCTTGTTGCTGGGACTCAGTTGATGGCACCCTTGCTTAAAAGCCAGCAGACCTCGGCTGCTGAGAGCTGCTCTGCTGGATGCTGATGTGAGATCCTTCCTAAGCAGCAATCAGTGCACAAACCTGACCACGTGGGAGTTAAAGTTCTTCAGTCTGATTTTTAGCCTTCTCTCCCCTCCTTCATTTGTTGTCTACTTCCGATCTGAAAGAATGGGCATGTTTATGAGTAGAGCACAACAGCTGTAGTAAGATGAGTGATGTGATGGAATAGTGAATTATGTCACAAATGTTTCACTCTGGATAAATAACTCAGATGAAGTTTCCCTAACTCCAGCACTCGGATTGCTGACACCAGCTGCTAAGGGCAGAATCTGTCACCAGCACACAAGTGTCCTAGTGTTCTCCTTTGTGCTTTTCCATAAGATTGCCTCTGTTGTTTTTTTTTTGTCTTATTGTCCTCCCCATCTTCCTGTTTTTATTTTTCTCCTGCTTGCTTCTTCTGCGGGGCTTTGCAGCAGCATGGTGAGGTTGTGCAGCTCTGTGTGGTCGGAGCACTGCGTCGAATCAGGCTCTGCAGCCCAGTTCCATGCGAGGCTGGGCTGTTAGGTTTTGTTCTCTGATAATCTCTGCAAAGCAGTGGACAATGAGCTGCCAATTGAAAACTGTGACAAGAGGATTAGCGAGCATCTGTTCAAAGAGAAAGGGTTATTTTGGAAAGCAGAGAACTTTCCTGATATAGCAGAATCCTGACTTGTGGAGTCCTTTACCAGCAGGACACACCATGCCTGGCCACAGGGCTGCCTGCTCCCTCACTGTGACAGTCTGCTTTGTAAAGCTCTGCAACGCCTGGCTTGATGAAGAGACTCTTAAGTTTGGTTTCACACCACTCTGTGAGTGCATGAAAGAAAGAGGAGGAAGTTTTACATAGAAATGGAGTAAGGACTGTGGAGCTGTTTGAAGAGTACCAACTGTATGTAAGACAAAATGTGATGCCGGATGGATATGACTCTTTTCTCTCGTTTGGTTTTTGTAGCAGTTCTGAAATGCTGTTTATTAGTCCTCAGGATGTTCAGCCTGTCCTGGATGCCTGCTCAGCGTTTGCCTCTGCCCTCCCCTGTTCTCGTTTCACCGTTTCCCTCTGCAGCTCTCTGCAGTGCTTTTGTGTCTTCTGCCTCAGATACTTCAAAACTTCTTGTCATCCCATGTTTCTCAATCTCAGTCTTAACCAAATACTGCACAATTAAACTTGCTAGGAAGTAACTCCAAAATTTGTGGGTTTTAAACCCACAAGTGAAATACAAGCTTAAAGGTACCAACAACAAAATGTACAGGAAATTGTATAAAGCAGATATTTTCAGGGATGGAATTCTGGCTAGGTTTTGGGTGCTGTTTCTCTTGTATTCATTATTTTTCTCAGTGGAAGTGTAATTTCCTAACAGTGCTACTTTTGTATGTAATACGAGAAGGAAATGGGAGGTGCTTTACAATATAATGAAAACAAAGTGGAAAAGCTTTGTGCAGTGCTGGAGCAGGGCTCTGAATTGAGCAGGCAGCTGGGCTAGAGGCACATGCGTAACCTTGACCTTTTTTCTTGTTTCCAGTACAAGAGAAATTGCCTTCTGCACAACTGGACTCTTCAGGGAAAAATCCTTGCTTTTGTTTCACCCTTTCCATTCCTCCCTAAATGTGCCTGCTCTTAGGAGCTGGCTTTGTTTGGAGCTGTGCGATTTCTGTCTGTTTCGTCTTTTAGCCATAAGGAACTGAGGAGCAGTGCAAAAGCAAAACATGTCTGCAGAGATTTGGAAGGACTTTACTGCACTGGGGGTGCAAGAGCAGCATGTCCCTTGTGAAATGGTTTCACGTGTGTCCAATTGCTTTATATTTTGTGTCTGTATCCCAAGGCTGAAGGACTATGGGAGAGAAGTATTGCAGCTTATTCCTGCTCTGCGATAAAAACAAATTCTGAAAATACAGCCATTAGTCTGTAAAGTATACTGTTACAAACGTAGAATAAATGCACTTAAATCAGGCATTTAAGCACTAGGTTGGGATGTCTGTGTGAGGACACCAGGCGGATAAACATCTCTCCTGAGTGCTGGCTTAGGATCTTTAACTGCCACGTGTGGTCACGGTACCAGAAGTGCCAGGAGCAAAGCAAAGCAGCAGCACAGCGATAGGAGCCACAGCTGCCACTGCCTGCAGGGCTGCATGGGGCCCAGTGCCACCTACTGACTCCCAGGTCTCTTTCTGCAGGTTTCCCTTGGGCTCCCAGCCCAGAACTAAGCCTGACCTTGTTTAGCTTGAGGTCTGAAGGTACGGGCTGATGTCACAGCTGCAATATAACAGTAAAGATTCACTTCCTGTGTGCTGCTATCTGTATAACTGCAATTTGAGCAAGAGGTCTTATTTACTTCCTGAAAAATTTGAAACTTGTTTTTCTTGTTCACATCTATCTTCACATCAGTAATTTGATTTTTAACTGCATAAAGATTGAAATATTGTGGTTGGTCTTGTTTACCAGATCTTACAGCAGAAACTTGTTACCCAAACTTCAATTGCTTTTAACTTCCTTTCGTCCTATTCTGTGGTGGTAGAGGTTTCATTTTCAAGTGTGTGTTATATGCCAAAGTCATCTCTGATTCTGGGCACTGAAGGTTTTTTTAATGTCTTCTCACAGAGTGTAGTGCAGCACTGCAGGTTATAAACAAAGCCATAAAACAGAGATCAAGGCTTATATGCTAGTAAGCTTTAGATGCTTTCAGACATCCCAAACTTCTGAAATTCACTTGTCTTCAGTATGAAAGTAGTTTGTTTATTTTTTTGTTTGTTTGTTTTTTTGTAGAAGAGTGGTAGTATGTACAGGAAATACTGCTGTATTTTTATCTGAAACAATATTTGTAGGTTCTGGGTACATCTTGTATCTGTTTTATTATATGATGAAAGCCTTATAAGATTGAGATCTTTAATGTTTTAGATCAACATGATGCATAAGTTTAAAACTGCATCTGTTTAAAGGGATTTATGACTAAAACTGCTTGTTTTTCTACAGAATTGTCTGGTGTTTCTCAGCTTGAAGAAGATCTGCAGTCATTATTGATCCTCTTTCTTGGCGTTACCGCTTTCGAAGTGAAGTTTGCCTAGCTTTGTAGTGCGAGCTTTCTTTTCAGCCATCTTAAACCAAACCAAACAAACAAACAAAGATTTTGATCCGTAAAGTAGACAAGCTATAGCTCTACAATGTCCAAGTCATTCCAGCAGTCATCTCTGAGTAGGGATTCACAAGGTCATGGGCGTGAGCTCTCTGCAGGAATAGGCCTTCTTGCTGCTGCTACCCAGTCTTTAAATATGCCAGCATCTCTTGGAAGGATGAACCAGGGTACTGCACGCCTTGCTAGCTTAATGAATCTTGGAATGAGTTCTTCATTGAACCAACAAGGATCTCATAGTGCACTGTCTTCTGGTAGTACCTCTTCCCATAATTTGCAGTCTATATTTAACATTGGAAGTAGAGGTCCGCTCCCTTTGTCTTCTCAGCACCGTGGAGATGCAGACCAGGCCACTAACATTTTGGCCAGCTTTGGTCTGTCTGCTAGAGACTTAGATGAACTGAGTCGCTATCCCGAGGACAAGATCACTCCTGAAAACTTGCCTCAGATCCTTCTACAACTTAAAAGGAGGAGAGCTGAAGAAGGTTATGGTAGAGATGGCAGATCATCCACACGGGAACCACCGTACAGAGTACCTAGGGATGATTGGGAAGAAAAAAGGCATTTTAGAAGAGATAGCTTTGATGATCGTGGTCCTAGTCTCAACCCGGTAGTTGACTATGACCATGGAAGTCGTTCTCAAGAATCTGGTTATTATGACAGAATGGATTATGAAGATGACAGATTGAGAGATGGAGAAAGGTGTAGGGATGAATCTTTCTATGGTGAGACTTCGCATAACTATCATAAATTTGACAGTGAGTATGACAGAATGGGTCGTGGCCCTGGTCCCGAGAGATCTCTCTTTGAGAAAAAGAGAGGTGCTCCTCCAAATAGCAATATTGAAGACTTCCATGGATTCTTACCGAAGGGTTATCCCCATCTGTGCTCTATATGTGATATGCCAGTTCATTCTAATAAGGTGAGTTATGCACCAGATACTTCTATTTTCCTTTACGTTTTAGTACCTGTTCTGTTTTTACCTATTTCTTTAATTATTTCTGTAGCCTGGTTGCTTTTGAAATGATCTGAAAGTTGGTTTGAGAGTGAGAAAGGCACTTGGTTTATTTACAAGTAATGGTTAACAAACGTTGTAAACCAGGGCTTTACATTAATGTATTTTGTTTGCCCAGATTGCTTAACTTCCAGACAAACAGCTATCATCTACTGGGATATCTTATTTATATTTTACATCTACATGTTCTCTTAACCACAGACATCTGTTTTTTGGTGGGTTTTTTGTTGGTTTGGGTTTTTTTGCAGTGTATCTACTGTGCCCTTCAGGAAGCTAGTTTCAGCTCTCCTCCACATCTATCTTGATTGCCGATTTATACGTAGTTAAGATGCATTCTTGCACAGTTCTGCTTTTTCCCTGTCCAAAGGGAAAGAGTTAATGTAGAGCCCTGGAACCTGTTTGCAAAAGTTTAAAAATAAATAAGTAAAAATAAATCACGTTTTAGATGAGCTCATTCTTGCCTTTTTAATTTCACTTTAACACTCTATCTCATACTATGGCTGAAATTTGTCGTCATTTTTCTCCTTTTTCACAACTTTCTTAGACACTTCAAACTCACTTTTTATTGTCCCATGTTGCATCTATCCCTGTAGACTCTCCGAGCAATCAGCCTGCTGCTGCAGTATCTGCTCTGTGTTCCTAGTAGTGTTCTTTACTTGGCTGGCAGGTAGAGTTGGGTCTTCGGGTCCGTTCAGTCACGCTGAGGCTTCCCTCTCAGTTTGTCCACCAGTGGTTCAGCTCTCTGCAGCGGTAGCACTTTGCTCAAAATGGCCTGGTTATTCAGACGGTATTTTCAGAGCCTTCTCACTTTCAGCTTTTCCAATTTGACTCATCTTGCTGATTTGCAGGGTACTAGGCAATTGAATTGGCTAATTGGCAAACACAGTGCACCTCTTGTCACGACTAGTGGCTTATTAGCCTTCAATTGGAAAGGCAGTACATGCCATGGCTGTGAAATTGGTACCATGTGGAATTACTGTTACTAACCGTTTCTTTACAGTTACCTCTCAAAAAGTGCTGCTTCTATGCATCCGATCTTGTTGAAACGTGAATTGTCCCCACCAGGAGCTGATCAAGACACATTAGAGCACGTGCTGTGCTACTCCAATTGATCCGACACTTTACAAACTTGTTTTGCTTTAATTACTGTATATAAATTAATCACAGCAGTCTGGGTTTCTTGTCTGCGTACTTTCAAGACATTCATTTTTGTAAAAGGTTTAAATATGAACAATTGAAATGCCACACTCAGTTTTGTATAAAGGACTTCATTTGGTTAGATTGAGAACGTAAACTTCTGAGGCCCTTGAAGATGGCAGCCAGTACACCTGTAAGTAGGGTTCTTTTTAGCGTTTATCCTTCGTTTGCTTTGGTATGAAGGTCTGCTTAATTAAAGGCTGTCCAACCTGAAGTATCTTTCTAAGCACAAGAAATACCAAATTCTTTTGACAGCATAACTTAAGTGACTGACACCTTCCACGACATACAAACCCATCTTTTTTAGTAACACGTTTGCCTTAAGCTGCTGAGAACATCACAAAATATTTGAGATTGGATCTTCTGTTTCTTTTGACCCGAGTTTGGGTTTTGTTTCTGTTTCGGAAATCACGGTATGGCAAGAATTGTTCTCTTTCTCTCCTTTTTTCCTCCACTTTGCATATCTAACAGTTACAGAGTTTCCTATTCTGTATCTCCTCCAAAATTAAATCAAGTAGAACTTAACATTTGAAGTAATTTGATTTGAACCAGAATGTATGGAAAGCAGAAAGGGAATGCTTTTCTTAGCTAGGACAATATAAACTCATTATTATAATGTCAAAATCTCACTTTCCCGACCCCCAATAAAAATACTATGGAATATAAAACAAGGAAAATTATATGATAATGCAGTGTATCTGTTTTAGCCCAACGAGACAGACGGCTACCCTTGGAGCCTGGCAGGCTAGTCCTCTTTTTGCTCTTTTAGTGATGTTACCGCATGCTTCATTAATTTGTTGCATACAGACTCTGATCCAGCCTGTTTTGGCTAATTAGGAAGGAAGTTTAGCCCAGCTTTTTAGTCCATCTTGATCCCTTTGTCAAGGAATGAGGAGTTGAAGCTTAGCCACTGCTTTCCCTGCAAACAAAGAGCCTGGTGCAGTACGAGCAGATGAGTTTGGAGGTTAAACGCTTGAAACTGTGATATATCTCAGAGGGAAAACATGGCTGTGTCCCTAATAAGGCAGTATCTAAAATTAGGTGCTTAAGTTTGGCCTGCTTTTCTAGAGAACATTGTGTCCTCCTGCTTGCATCAACTGAAGCAAAAGTGATCTCCATTTTAATAAACTTCATTGAGAATTTCTTTAGCTTAACACAAATGCCCAGAATTAATTAGTGTCTGTAAATATCTGGGGCCCTGCAACCTCAGACAAGTGGCACCTCAGAGCAGGTACAGGAAGGGAACAAAGCAATGTGTAGATTAAGAGCTCTATTTAATATGAACTTAATAACATGGATGAGCCATTGTTGTTCTGGAAAGTTTCCCTAGGGGGAAAAAAAAAAACAGTTTATACATCAGATCTCTCCTCTGCTTATTTTTTTCTTTGCCAATTTAAAAAAGTGTTTGAAGTGCGAGAATCAGATCCCCAAACTTTGGCTCTGGTTTGCAGATAAGTTCAATTTCAGTTTATAATAATCCCCAAGTACGTGTTAAGGCAGCTCCAAAGGTGTGTTAAACTTGCAGAGTCAGTCTGTGGGGCTTGTGAGGCTTCACATGTAGTGCAGCTGAATTTAGGGGGCTGTTAGTGTTAGAAGGGCTGCTTTGTGTATTATAGCACTAAAACTTGTTACTGGCTTTAAAACTGAAGAATATTTGCTTTAAAGTACTGAGTGTTTCACAGATAGAGGGCTTATTTGCGGGGCTTTGGGGCTTCTGTTTGCAACCTAATTGCAAGTATATTTGCAGATTCATAGTAGCAGAGCCTACATCTTGTGTGGTTAACAAGAAGTGCTCATTTTCCACCTTGTTTTTAAAAATAAATTCATCCTGCTCCATGTTCTCTTCTGTATATCATGGAGTGTAGTAGCACAGTGTAGCTTAATGCTGGTACTTCCGGAGATGGGAGATGCAGTTTGTTCTCCTTGGTGGGGAGCACAAGGTGGGCACTCAGGGCACGCAGACTGGAAGCCCCGCTGCAGGGAGGATGGCTGTAGTGTGAAAGTGAACAAAGCAGGGAAGGGCAGGGCTTGGGAAATCCTTTACCTAAAATGAAGGATGTATGAAACAGTCGGCCAGTGCAGTATATGTGTTTGCATCCGAAAAGACAGCCGATGAAAACCCATCAGTTGTTAAACTGCCCCCCAGAAGACGTAATTACTCTCCCCTGTGTTGCTCCCTATGGGCATAAAGCTGTCCTGTCCCACCCACCTGCTGCTGGTCGCTGGCTTACTGAGCAGCAGCAGGGTGGAAGTAACCCCGGGGGTGTTACACAGCCATCTGTGTAGCAGTGACTCTTAAGTCCTGTCACTTGCTTACAGCGCACGCTGGGGCTGGTGTATGTAGCACTGGGATCTGATGGTCAGGCTCTGTACCTAACAGAGGAGTCCCTGTGCCTCCTCTGCTCTTGACATAAAAAAACCAGGGAGGTGGACTCCTTTCATAACCAGTATAAGATGCAGGGAAGCAGAAGGCCTTGTTCCTTTCTTGTGTTGAGGCCAGAACCAGAGATGCTGGAAAGCCACTAGCTAGTGTAAAAATACCAGTAAGAGGAGAAGAGCTCAGGTAGCCTGGAGGGTACAGCTACTGCACTCAGCCAAGATGCTGGCTCTTCTCTAGTAGCTTCAGCAATTGCATGGTGCATTACCCTTTGTGCTGCTGACCTCTCTCAACTCTTGCTCTGTATGTGATGGATATTTCCACTAAGAACTTCACTGTGATACTGAGGTAATTTGATGTAGTTTTATTATTCCTCCTTTCTACCATCTTGATTAGGTCCCATTTCTCTTGACTATTCCCCTCAAATGCTCATAAATTTTTATATTTCACATGTGTAGTTGTCCTAGCTATGCACTTTTGTTTCTTTTAGTCTTTCCTTTCTGAATTCCTTGCAGTTTCTTGGCTCTTTCTTGGCTTTGGAAACTTGAGTCTGTAGTCCACATTCATCTTTGATAATCTGAGGAATGAAGCAGAGAGTAGAGGAAATTCTAAAATTCTAAAAAAAAAAAAAAAAACATTAAAAAATTAAAAATCTCAGCACTTGTGCAAGTTGGAACGTCAGCAATACACATGTGAGCTATAGCAGGTAGCCTGCAAGCTTCGCATGTTGGAGGCAGGGTGAAGCCCAAGGGCATCTTTCATCAGATACCTATCCACACAAAATAGGGGTTCAGAAGTAGGTCCAGCTTCAGTGTGTCTCCAGAACACTAAAAAAGTATTTTGATATCTATGCGTTCATCTTAGATACTTCAGTTTAGAAAAGAAGATGATATGCTACAACAGTGTTATTTTGTTAGAAATAGCATGTCGTGTGTGGCTTTTAACTTTGAGTTATTTACTTTGCTGCAGGAGTGGAATCACCATATCAATGGAGCGACTCACGGCCGACGCTGTCAGCTGCTGCTTGAAATGTATGAATTTGAAGTACAGTAAACATTCTTGTGGCATGAGAGCAGTATAAGTAACCAACTGTCAGCTGTGATGCTCAGAGCAAGCTTAGAAAAACATGCTGTGTGTTGCAGAGAATAAAGATACGCTACTTTAGAAGTGCATTTTTGGGACACAAAAGGACTGCTGGTTCTTAAATTCTGAATCCTGCTGATGCCTTAAATGCCTCCAAGGATGGGGACTGCATGTCCCTGGGCAGCCCATTCCAACACCAGCCTGCCCTCCTGTCAAGGAACGTCTTCCTGCCCAGTCTGGGCCTCCCCTGATGCACCTTGAGGCCATTTGTTTGCATCCTATCACTTGTGAATCTGCTGCAACTTTATTTTTTACTAATCAGGCTTGTGCCAAGACTTTTTTTTTTTGTAAAATGAGCTTATTCTATGCAAATTATAATATAAATCAGCAAGCCGCGTTACTTTGAATGTAGGAATTTTCTCATAAAGACTAGCACTCCCTGTTGTAATTAGATACTGCAGTTTATGTAATATGTAAAGGTATTGCAGCCTATATGAAAATAGATATAAAAATTACCGCATAGTGAGAGGAGATTGGATTTTTCTTACCTTTATTCTTTTTTCTTTTTTACGTTTTTTCTTCTTAAGATATCCAGAATGGAACCCTGACAGTGATTCAGGACATGGAATGTAAGTAATGAATGGTGGATAGTGGACATGATACTCTTCTGCTGGTTTAAGCAGTACAGTTCTAATCAAAGCTGTGTAGTTTGGGCTGTTATTTTATCTAAATGCTTTAAAGTAATTTTGAAAATTATTACTATCATTTGAAGCTGCTTTTTAACATTTAATATGAAACAACCTACCTTCTTCAAATGGGTAGCTCCCTATTTTGAGAGAGTAAAAGCAGTTCAAGTTGACTTGTGCTTGGATACTCGTCAGGAATTGGATGGCTGGAGGAAAAAGGCGTCACAGTTTTTGTTCTGATTTTTTTTTCCCTTTTTCTAGGGGTGATCCCTTCATGTTGCAGCAGTCCACAAATCCTGCACCAGGAATTCTGGGACCCCCACCACCTCCATTCCACCTGGGAGGGCCTCCTGTTGGGCCAAGAGGTAATGCTGGCAGACATCAGACTGGATGCCCTTTTCTGAAAATCACCTCTCATGAATTACTGGACTTAATCATTTGTGTTCCTGAAGCTTTTTATTATAGCCAGATATTTTGGTAGTAGACAGTGCATAGTCACAGCAGTAAGCACCAGCTTTTCCACATGTTATGGGGTTTTAGATGCTTTTTTTGAAAAACAAACAAAACCCTCTATGTCTGCTAGACTTGAGTTGTTGATTTCTGATCAGTGTTTTAGAACAACAGAGCAATGCTCTCTGAGGGGTGGAACTGAAATGCTTTTGCTTGTTTTCCTCACCATAAATACTTTGTTTCCACACTTTCACCTTTCTTCCCTCTTCTAACTATTGGGCACATTATTATGGATTTCTTCTTTCAGCTGTTGGATTAATCAACCAACGTGTGCTTTGGGGTCATGCATGTTTTCCTGTGTAGCAATCTGTTGCACATCTTCCATTTAGCTACCTTCATGTTGGTGGATTTTTGTGAAACTTGGAAGAATTCAATGTCTTCAGTCTTTTTCTCCCTAAATTAATTTGAAATGGAATTGAGAAATAGATTTGGGGGCCTTATCTTCCCAGAAAGGCAAGATAAGAATCAGGTTCTCACCTAAAGTCATTATTTCTTACTTTATAAATAACTCAAGTGAGTAAAAAGCAAAACTAATTAATTTACCTGATCCTGACTGATAAAAAATCTCTCAGGCATCTTAAAGGAGTCTTTGAATGATAAATGTTTAAACAGTTAATGTCATTACAGTATTATTGTAAAATTTTCAATACATCTCAAACTTGATTTTTGAAATATACAAGACTAATGGCCTTTTTAGGCTTAGTAATACTAATTTATCAATTAGTAATACTACTTAAGTGGCTTTTTAAAACTTGACGTAATACTGTTTTAGTGTTATAAGTTCTCTCCAGAACTTGTAAAGAAGCTGTTAATAGCAGCCTTGTCAATTGAACTAAGCTTGCTTTTTTTTTTTTAATTTCTTGAAGGAGCTGGAAATGGAAACATGCAAGGACCGAGACACATGCAGAAGGGCAGAGTGGTTAGTATTAAATAAATGTAAAGTCTTTAAAGGATGTGAGTATTTGTATGCAGATATGCTTTTTCTTTAATAAAATGTATTGGGTTTGGGGTTATTTTTTTTTTAAGGAGTGTCTTTTAAAACAATTTCATACTGAGATTTCTTGGTGTGGAAATATTGAAGCTTTGGAAAGAGATTGTTTCATTTTGCCAAATATTCTACAAAATGTTTGTTTTCAGAAGTTTATACAGTCTGCATGTTCTCTTATGAAGAAGATAAGAGACAATCTCCTTTCTGTACAGCTGTCACAGCAGGCATCTTCCTCTGAGAATCCTTGGAGGTGCTGTGCATTTTCTGCGTGTCTAGTTTTGATTACTAATTAAGTCTTTATAAACAATAGTAAATTAAAAAAAGAACAGATCCTTGAAAAATGTTATTTTAAAGTTAGTTGGTGCACATGTTGTGTATGATGTGTGTACTTTATCCTCAACAGGAAACGAGCAGAGTTGTTCACATCATGGATTTCCAGAGAGGGAAGAACTTGAGATATCAATTGCTTCAGCTTGTTGAACCATTTGGAATAATTACAAATCACCTGATTCTAAACAAAATCAACGAGGTAAGATTGGGCCCTTTATTAGTGCTGTTGGAACTGCTTGATTTCTTTGGTATGCTTACTGTCTGAGTTGAAATTCTAGTAAAAGGATGTGCTTGGCTTCTAAGCCAGGTAACATGTCGCCAAGCTGACGTGTGATGGGAAGAGTGACTAGTGTGTGTTTCCTTTTACAAATACTGTAATACTGCATCTCAACTTAAATATTGTTAAGAATCATTCTAGATGGTTATTTCTAGCTTAGAAAATACAGTTTGCAAACTCAATTTGTGTTTTATTATTCTCTGGAAACTCAGTTTATACATAAGTGTCATATTTTGAAGGGAGGAAAAAGCCAGTGTATTTTCACAGAGGTGAAAAAGCATGAAAGGAATGCAGGAAGCAACTGAATGTTCTGAATCCAAATCTAAAATGTGTTCGTGCGCATGAAGTATGTGAAGTTCATGCCAAGTTCTAAAGGCCAGTTAATATCACCAAAAGGCAGTTTTTGGTTTTGATGCAGACATTTTTATGAGAAAAAAGGGAGAGCTTGAGACCTTAAATAAAAACAGCAATTCCTTGAAAGTGTGGTGCTTAATCTGTTTTTATGTTTTCAGGCATTTATTGAAATGTCAACCACTGAAGATGCTCAGGCTGCAGTAGAGTACTACTCAACAACACCTGCACTGGTATTTGGTAAACCAGTCAGAGTCCACCTGTCACAGAAGTACAAAAGGATAAAGGTAAAATATTTCTGCTTATTTAAACACTATTTCAGTCTGAGACAGTGATTGTTACCTGGCCACTGCTTTTAGATTGTTACTTTATGTACTTCACAGCTATATCAAATTAATCAAGGGATATAATTTACTTACTTGCTTTAAGTGATGCAATGTTAAGTGTACTTCTTATAGTATCTACTTTAAACAATTCATTCACTCTTTAATTTTAGAAACCTGAAAGTAAACCTGACCAAAAAACGGAGCCACCAAAACCAGAACTTGGTCGTGTGATTCACCTCAGCAATTTACCTCATTCAGGCTACTCTGATAATGCAGTGCTCAAACTGGCTGAACCATATGGAAAAATTAAGAACTACATACTCATGAGGATGAAGAGTCAGGTAACTGACTGCAGGAGCTTAGTGTGTGGGGGTTGGAAGCTAAGACACAACTGTGAAGAAATGTAGGCTGCTTCTGTAGCATAGATACGGAAATTGTGTAGGTGGTTTGCTATTTAGCTTACTGTGTAAGTCACTGTAATGTGAGCTGCTTTAAAAAAAAAGGAAAAAAGAGACACAGTAAAAGCAGACATTAACTGCGAAGTATAATTTAGCATTAGACTTTTTGTTATATATATCTCAAGGCATTTTGAACTCTTTTTTTAAGACTGAAGAAACAGTACCTGTGAAACATTAATATCTATCTTCTGCTATTACATGTTTCTTTCACTTAGGTATTTGTTCTTTAAGTGGAAGCAGGTCTGTGTTTCTCTCAAGATGGTGTATTGCACATGTATAGTAAAACACTTTGAATGCATGTATATATGATTTCCACCTGTACACAAGAATTTTAAATATTTAGCAGAATTGAAAAAAAATTTTTAACTTCCTGGTATTTTTTTCAGAGATGAATTCTTGAATCCCACAGTGCCACACTCATGTTATGGAATCAGAAATAAGTAGAATCTATTGTATGACCCCTTAGATGTCCTCCTTAACCTTATTGCACTGGAAAAACAAAAGGACCTTGCTCTGTTTGGTGCAGAAGCAGCTCTCTTCTGTCTCTCTTCTGTGCTTTTAAAAGCTTGTTCAGCAAACATAGTGTGTCATAGGCTTGTTTCATGGAGGAACACCTCACAGAGCAAGACTTCTTTTTTCTAGGCCACTGTCTGCTGCTTTTCTGTTTCAGACTTCTCTTAAAAAAATGCAACTTCCTCAGTACCTCAAAACTCCCAAACCCTTCAGCACCAAGTAAATGAGAGAAGTGCTTTTTTAGTTGATTTGTATTTCACTTTAAGGTGACTTTTCTTTCCAGATTACTTAAATACCTGATATTTAATTTGTAAACTTTATAGAGGACAGATATTACTGAATTCAAAAGCAAGCTTACGCAGGACACTTCAGCAAATACTAAAATGTGTGGCTAGTTTAAAGGACTTGGACAGAGCCAAGTCTCATAGTTTGGTTTCAGCATTTTGAAATGCTGTGTTCTAAGCTAAATAGCTTTGCCAGTGGGAGTGTTATGTATTTTGTAATTTGTGATGTGTACTTTAATCTTTTCAGGCTTTCATTGAAATGGAGACCAGAGAAGATGCTTTAGCGATGGTTGAACATTGTGCCAACAAAGCTCTTTGGTTCCAAGGCAGATGTGTGAAAGTGGATCTATCTGAAAAATACAAGAAATTGGTGTTAAGGGTAAGTTGTATTTTTAGTTGCAGACTGTTTTCTGATTGTAAGTGGAGGTGTAAAGTGAAGTAGAAGACACCTCGTTTCTTGAGAATTCAGCGCAACTTTGAAAATTCATTATAGAATTTTCTGGCTGCTTAAATGATATATAGCAGGAGTGTGGTGTTCTGAGGTGTAGGACAGAATGAAGGGTTTTCCTTTCAGATTGAAAAAATGAAAAATCATATTTTAAAGTAGTCTGTGTAGCTCTTAACTAAACATTCTGTTTAAACATACTCTTCTGTGGTTCCTTTTTTCTCATCCTTCTCTGCAAATGATCTGAGATTTTAAAATCACAAGCTAGGTGTCAGAACTATGTGTATTATAAGGCTTTGTCAAGTTTCTAATTAACAGCATATTTAAATAAGGGCTCTTTATCGTGGAGTATGGAAAAGTCTTACTATTGCATATGATTGTGCACCAAAAATGAATGTTGTGACAAATTCAAACACTTAGCCAGTGTATCAACTTGTGCATTATTAACATGGAAGATAAGTGGGATTTCCTATTCAGTAACTCCTAAATAAGCAAAATGATGCAAGTCTTCAGCTTCCTGCATAGCCCGCTCCTAATGGTAGTGAGAAGATTAGATGGGCTGACTTGTACTGTTGCTTGCAACGTGCTGAATCAGCTCATAAACCAAAGATGTTGTACATGATTTTCTCTAGCAGACTACCCTGTTTTTGTGCTGAGTTAGAGAGTTTTGGTGGAGACAGATGGGGTTTCTCGATCGGTGAGGTACTGTAACAATTTAGTAGTTCATTGATTGGTTGCTATCTGGGCATTGTAGAAGAGTACTTATGGATTAATTTAATTGGTAGTGCTTGACTAGATTAACTCAGACCAGACAGAACAATGTTTCAACATTTCTATAAATAATACTTCGCTGTGACTTAAGACTTTTCTTCTTATAATTTTAGATTCCAAACAAGGGAGTTGAACTTCTGAAAAAGGATAAAACTAGGTAACTACCAATTATTAAAACATAATGTTGTTTAAAAGGAAATCTGAAAATACCCTACCCAAAGCATAGAAATTAGACAGAAGAAGTCTGGCAAGCTCTGAGATCATCATGTTGTTTGTGCAAAAAGATTAAATGTTTTTATTATGGTACCTATCCTTTTCCTCTAATGAAAGAGACTTCACAGCCTCCCCAGGCTGCTCTGGAAATCTGCTGCAGTCCTTAATTATCCTTGCCTTCCCGCAGTTTAAACCCATGAGCAGTTGTATTGTCTTGAAAGGACAGTTCCTCCTTGCAGCAACCTCTTGCATGCTTGAATTCTGTTTCCCTCAAGCTTCCATTTTCTGAACTAAACAAACACAGTTCTGAAGCTTGTCTAGAAGAGCTAAGCCTGCTATTTTTTTAGTCACTTCTGGATGCTATTCAGATTCATAAGCAAGTGTTCTTTCTTTACAGAAAGAGAACATATTCTCCAGACAGCAAAGACTCTCCAAGTGATAAGAAGTCTAAGACTGATGCTACTCAGAAACCTGAAAGTGGCACTGTAGAAGATAAAGTAAAAGAGGAGAAGCAAGATGATGCTGCTGAGCCATCAGGCACTAAAAGCAGTGAGCAGGCAGACCAAGATGAGCCTAGTTTACTCCTTGAATCTGAAGATGAGCTTCTAGTGGATGAGGAGGAAGCAGCAGCGCTGCTGGAAAGTGGCAGCTCAGCAGGAGATGATGCAGATGTTGCCAATTTAACTGATGTGACTACCGAAGAAAAAAAGGACCCGGCTGATGATGTGACCGTAAAAACCGAGGGAAATGTTGTGGCCAATCCAGCAGCAAAGAAAAAGCTTAAAAAGGTAATCATATTGCAAGCTACTTGAGTCTAGAAAACTCTTTAAGTTGAATAATGCACCACAGTATTCTATTTCACATCTTTTTCTGTGGGTCTTTAAAATGTGTGCGTGTTGCACCTGTTTGAAGAGAAATGGGTGTTAAAGCTTCTATGAAGAAAGAAGATCCCATTGGATGCAACTTGCAAATGAAATCAGTTATAAATCAGTGTTTTTATTTTGACAGAAGCCACTAACTTGTGCATTTCCACCCGTCTTATTTCCTGGGGTTTTTCTTAGCTATCTCTGCTTCTTTCTTCACTAACGTTAAGCAGCCAGGGAGCTATTTAAGCTATTTATCCCTAACAAGCCAGTCTGTAGTTGCTCTTTTGAGCACTGAACAGAACAATGACATTTGGCTGGGGGAATCATAAGAGACTTGAGGCTGTTTTAGACTTGAACAAAATTGTATGAGTGTCTGCTAATTATGCTGAGCTGTAAAGGCAGGCAAGTCCATTTGAGTTAGCCAAGGCCATTTCCAATTGAGAAAGGGAAAAAAAACCAAAAAAACCATGTAGTTTTAAGGTCTTGGAAGCCATGTGCTTCTTGCTGTGAACTTAATTTTTCTCACCAGATGATCACATGCTCTCATAGTTGTTTCTCCTACCAGCTGCTTTTTTTCTTTTTTTTTTAAATCATACTTGGTTATGTGGAGTAGGATGCAGAATGCATGCAAAACTTCAGTAACATTATTGACTGGAATGTTTGTTTTTTCCTTTTTGGTAGGAAGGGGGAGAAAAAGAGCATATTCCCTGCTTTTAAATGAATTCAGTGTGCATTGTTTTCAGTCCTGGGGAATCCTTCTGTCAGAAGGTAGTTGTGCAGTGTTGGGGTTAATATTGCCAGTGTGAATGGCAGTGACTATTTCTTGTCACACGGCTGTATGTCAGGATAAGGCACCTCAAACCCAAACTTGTTTCCTTGAAGAACTAAACTCCTAGAGCACAGATACAAAGCTAATGCTGCTTCTCTCACTGTTATTCATGATTGCTGTTAATAAAGTGGAATACTGATGTCTTCCTATCAGTTTCACTTGCCTGGTGGTGAAGCTGGTTTTTAGGAGACCTCCACACACTTTATGTTTGTTTTCAATGGAGAAGCTCCAAGCTTTCCACTGGTTAAAAGAGGGCTCTTAGTTTTTCTTTTTATGAACTTTTAAACTATTGTACCTATTTCTGGTAAGATTCTACCTTTCACATAGGCTTGAATTTGAGGATCTTTTGGGATTGTTTCAAATAAAAACTGCATTCCAAAATGACATTCATTTAATTAAAAAAACTTCACGTTAGAGAGACTTCCAAACTAACAGATTAAAAAAAAAAAAAAGAAATTATCAAGACAAAGGTCACATATAGGTGTGATAAAACAGTGGACACTCACGATGCTAAATTGTTCATTCCAAATTGAACACTTGACTCTGGAAGCAGTGGAATACTTTTAAAAGAACCCGTTACACTTCTGCATGTCTGAGTAACATTTTGAACAAGTGAACTTCTTAAGATGGTTTGAGGGAAGCCATTAAGAATAAGGTGACTTAAGGAAAACGTTTTCTCAACAGCGATACGTGGGTGGCTTTCCACGGAGCATGGAAGGCTTTGTCACTCTAGATGAGGTTGGTGATGAAGAAGATTCAGATCATCAAAAACTTCGGAAGTCGGGTTTGGCAGTAAAATCTGCTGGCAAAAATGATGATAGTTTGGCAGAAATCAAAGTAGACAAGATTGAGGAGCCAGAGCAGGAAAATGAAACGTTAGAAAATGGTACCAAGACTGAAGATAATCTGAAGGCTGAAGCTGTTGAAGCTTCCGATCCCACAACAGCGCAAGATCCTGAGAAAAATGCCCATGAAAATATAGACACCCAGGAAGAACAGGAAACAAAGAATGTCCAAGAGAAAGCTCTTATTCCAGATGAATTTAGGATTGGGCCATACCAGCCAAATGTTCCTGTTGGTAAGGCTGTTTTCATTTCTTTTCAGATCTGTCTCTATACATTGCAGTAGCATTTCTCATTTCATTTGGCTTTTATTTCTGGCAGTGTGTTGCCTCTGAGCCTTTCATTTGAGGGCTCTCCATTCTTCTCTTCTCCACTCCTCCCTACCTCTAGTATTCTCTTTTTTTTTCCCCCCCTCATTTTCATTCAGTTTTCCATAACACTTTCCTTAGGCAGAAATTAAATTGGAAGAGGTATGTTTTAGCAACACTAATTCAATTAATAGCACAAATCACAGTAGTGATATTAGCCTAGATTCATACTAACTGCTCAAAAGGCACAAATTGGTCTCAGAACGCTATTAGTTCTTTAGAAGGAATCAATAAAACAGACCCTTAAACTGAAAGGTTGATTTAAAAAAAAAAAAAAAAGAAAGAAAAAAGTCTGCACATATTTAGCTATTACTGTGGGCCCCTGGCTTGACTAAACTAAGCCAAAGACTTCTAAAGACAAAGCAGCTTTTAATGTAAAGTGGATTATGGTTTTAAGATTTAGCTTGAAATGACATATGACATTAAAGAAATGATGTAGAGTAGTTCTCTTAGTTTATTTTGTGGTGTTTACTTCTCTAGGTGTGAATTATGTGGTACCCAAAACAGGGTTTTATTGCAAATTGTGTTCCCTGTTCTACACAAATGAAGATGTTGCAAAAAAGACCCATTGCAGCAGCCTTCCTCATTATCAAAAGTTGAAGGTAAGGCAAAAACTTGTTCATTTTAAGTGGCGTGATTCTTTCCTTGGGGAATAGATCTGAATGAGACTGGACTGAAGAGGAAGAAAAAAAAAAAGCTTCCAGGCAGTTGAAATTGGCTTATTCTATAACTTCTAACTCAAGCTAGACTTCTCTAAAACATCATATTTTGAAAAAAGTACCCAGGATACACACTGTGAAAGATGGGCTCCAGCATTTTTTTGCAAACTTGGATTAAAGTGGGCATTCTGATTGGAGCAGAGGCCAGGCTTAGAGTTAGTGGCACAAAGTAGATACTGGTGGCTCAGATCTTCTCCAGTTGGCCCTTTGAGAGAAATTTTAACTGGTCAGAAGACCATAAGCTAAATTTAAATATTTTTGTTAAAAATCCATATTTGCAACTTCTGATTTTGTGAGGATGTTTGACAGTTCCTAATTGGATGAGGTATCACATGATTGCATGGCATGAATGGTAATGCTGCTGCTGTATTTTTGTATTGTGAGCTGCTTTTAAATACCACTTCCCAGAAAGGGAAGTTCTAAACAAGGCTCTAATAATGCAGTGTTCACATCATTTGATTTCATATTGGCTGATTATGGAGCTGAAATCAAAGCCCATGGGTTCTGTAGAAAGGAAGAAGGTGGTATCTCAGACCTGGAAACGTTTGCTTTCTCCTGTGCAATGCTAGGCAATCCAGAAACAAATACAGGGCTATGCACTTAGAAGGCAGGGGGCACAAACAAATGTCTCAAAGCAAGTAACATTATCAAGGAGTAGATGAGAAAATAAATTACCATGCAAAATCCAGTAGTAAGAAAAACCCACCTCATCCATCACCCATAGCTTTTTTTTTCTTTTTCTTTTTTTTTTTTTTCCTCCCATTTGAGGTACTTGATCTGGGGACGTTAAAGGCTTGATGTAAATGGGGAAGTGGGGCAAATGATGCTGAGACCTGATAGCGACTTAATAGCTTTGATACTTAAATGAAACCTGATTTCCTTTTTCCGTGGCACAAATAGACTAAAGTGAGCTGCTCTTGAGTGCCTTGTAATTTTGGTGTGTTTGTAGAATTGGGGAGGGAGGAGGGAAAAGCAGCTTTTTATTTACAATGGCAAAGCACTTTGCTGGCTGGGAGTCAAAGTGATGCCAAATTCCTCAAATTTCTGACATAACCCTTCTCTAGAGAGGGGAGATAACAAATTTCAAGCAGGTAAGTGGCACAGCTACAATCATAAATCCATGGCAGTGGGCAAGTCACTCCCTTAGCTTGCCGGCCTGTTAGGAAGGCGGTGACGGCAGGGCCACGTAAATGCTTGCATGGCTGCCGTGCAGGTATCTGCTGTTGGTGAGCTGGATGCTCAGTCATGTCATGATAACCTAGTGCTTCAGAGGAGCTCTGCTTCATTTCTTCTTGTGAAGAAGTGCCAGTGATGTTTGTTATTACCTTTGAAGGCAACGTTCATAGATTTTTACAGGGTGAAAATGGGGTTAATCTTTATGGGCTTAATGTTGTGACTGTGAGAAACTCTGAGTATATCCAAAATGTGGTTGATTTCTTTTAACAGAAAATTCTGGATAAAATGGCAGAAGACTACAGGCAAAAGAAAGAAGCGTAAAAAGAAGGATGGATGTAAGGAAAACAGTGGCTTTGTTCTTAATGTTAATCTTTTTTTTAAGAGCAGTACAAGTAGTAGATGGAAATACTGTATTCTTTTTTTTTGTTTTGTTTTAGTGAGATACAGTAGATGTTATAGGTCTGTTCATGTGTTCAGTGTTGTAGCAAAAAGCATAAGCAGTTAAGTTAATGAAAAAAATTTGTTCTTAATGTGGGAATGGCAACAAGTTTTCGTTTTGACACTGAGCTGTAAAAGAAAAAATCTTGCATCCTTGTGGAAAGCTCATCTATGGCAAGAAAATTTCCTTGAAGTGAAATTTCCTACTTTCAAGCTTCGAAAATTCGTCTATCCATTCTCAATAAAAAATAAAAAGTAACACTGTATTTTTATTTCATCTAGAACATTCCGTATTTCAGTCTGAGCCTAGCAGATACTTAATTTGGAGTGTAAGGCTGTCATTGCATTTCACTTTTGAAAAGTCTTTAAATGTAAGTTGCATTTTTAAATGTTGAATTGCAGTTTCTTTTAATGTCATTGTTGTTACATAGCAAATAGGAAAATTAGTGATTAGTCAGCTTTACAACTTTGTGATTTTTTTTTTCCTAAGCTCTTGATAGACTTTCCTATTCAGCTATACCTTGTATTTTTAGTGAAAAGTAAATGCCCATTCTCCTCTGACCAGTATTATTTCCTCAAGCTCTTCCTGCTTTCACTTGAATCTTGCAGCTGTCGTACACCTCTGCTATATTCAAAAGCAGCATTTGAGTCCTGAAATGTTAAAAAAAAAAAAAAAAATCAAAAAAAGCAGTATCTTTATATTCTTCACATGTAATTTTTCATACCTGCATTTTAAAACTGTTTCTGTTGATCTGGTTTTGTCAAGAATCTTTTAGAACTGTGCTCTTAATGTACCTGCACATGTGATATGTGAACAGGAATTTGCATGTGTAACCTGTGTTTATCCGTAGTTTTTGTTATTTACTGCTTATTTGTGAATTCAGGTTACTAAAGTGATTTACCAATAAACAAAGCTAGGCAACAGTAACTTGTACAGATGTTTGGCATGTTAACCATTGTGTTTACTGAGCTCTTGAATCCCTTGTTCATGATAGCACACTGAAACTCTAGCTGTCCTGAAATTGCATGTTTTAACTCCTGTGATTTAGAAGCTTACTAAATAACTTCTTTCTCTTTTCTAAAACTTCTTCCATTTCCAAACAAATTAAAATATCACTTGTTAAAACACTGGTAGGTATATTCTCCTGACAGTTTTATTTCTTTAGCTTTGATGAGAATATCATAAAAGTTAAGTTCAAGCCACACCATGTTCATATGGCTAAAAATGACTCGGGGTGGTTATTTCAACCCAAAACTCCTGGCCTGTGGGGATTAAGTGCTAAGAATAATTTTTTTCAAATGTAGGAGGTTGAACCCTGATGAAGTTACTTTAGTTAAGTAAATGCATCTAGCAGATACGATGGTATGCTTTGTGAAATGAAAATCTCGATAACTTGTCTCCTCAGTATGTCACCTCTTGCTGTTGGATCCTCCACGAAAGAGGAGGATATGCCACATGCCTTCTGTGTGAGAACAGAGTAAAAGTTGAAGTATCTCATACAGTGGTGATAGCAGCTTAGCTGGAGACTGCAGGGAGACAGTGGTGAAATGTCAGTAAACTGCTAATGCACAGATTGTATTTAAATAGCATATCCAAATAATGAGATCTTAACATGCCGTGATGACTTCTTGCACTTTCTTGAGAGTAAGTCACATGGCACTCATCAGTGTAATGCAGTGAAAGTATTCAGTCTTAAAGCTGCCCCGCTGCTTACCCAAATCGCAGAAGAAACTGCACACAACAGAAGCTGTGCCATCAGTTCTGTTTTTGAGTCACAGGGATGTACTTGGACCTGTACCTGTTTATAATGACGCTTGTCATTCATCCATCTCCAGGAGGCTGCCTAATTCATCATTCAAGCAGAGGTCTTTTACTGCAAAACGATTTAATCGTTGGCAGTCATCCCACTTCCCTAAAACTGGTAGGTGAGAATTTTAAAGAGGACAGAAGTGCAAGGTCCCCCCAAGCATTTTAACACTACTTCCATACAACGTACACTGCTAAGATTAATGCAGTGAAATCGTGCAGCTCCTGTGTTGTATTTGTTAAGTAGCCTTTCTTCTTGGCAGTTGTGATCATCGATAGCTGTGCCATTCAGTGGTCTTATATCTAGTGTCCCCAGCCTGTGATAAACTCTAACCTGGGTAACTGATGAGGATTGAACTGTAGTAAGAAGTGAGGTCACATTTAGTGACTAAATTGTGACATAATCCAAATCACAGATCAGAAATCTCCTGCTCCAGTCATCTCTAATCCTGTGTCTGAAGTCAGTGGAAGTACTGCCAGAACTTTGCTAGGCTGTGTGCAGGTCTTCATGCCTGGACACAAAATACTGGTCAGGTCTGACTTACTTCTTGATGCACTTGGGTTGCTCTGAAAGTAATACCTCCTATTTCTTTCCATCAAAACCACAACAGATACAAAGAGCAAAATAACGCTGTTTGTTGGAGCAAATTCTCAGCTACAAAACACTTTTTTGACGCAGTTGCCACCATCAGCTATGTGTTTTTGTCAGCAATGAAAGAAATCTTGTAGGCCACACTCATAAAAGTCCACATATGCAAAGGCAACCCACTGTTTTGTGAAGTCCAACTTTGTGCTCATTTCCACTGCTCGGCCTGCACAGACGTTCACCAAGCAGTGACTGTTGTTACCGAGTGCAATTATTTCCACGTGCAGGAATTCAGCCCCACGCCTTTGCTTCGCGTGCGCTCCCATGTCAGACACCGTTCGCTCAGTGCCCCTCTGCTGCCATCTGTCGCACGGCCGCAGCACCTCGCGCTGTGAGCGGGTGGCGCAGGCCGTGCTGTCGCACACGGACATCCATCAGCTGTGGGCGGCAGAACGAAACGAGAGGGGTTGCTGTTGGAGTTGTCCTTGTATGTTCCGCTGTTTCCCCTCTTGCACTCTCTCCCTGGCCTTTGCGTGCACGCGCTGCGCTGATGCCTGATGGAAGCAAGGCTGCAGAAGCGCTTGAAGGGCCGCAGGAGTCGGGTGGCGGCGCGCTCTGCCTGTGCAGCGCCGGCGGGCGGAGGGGAAGCCGACCCAGAGCGTGGGCCGCCGGGTGCGGGCTTAGCGAGCTGCGTGTGACCTTTCGGTATGAGTTTACTGGGAAACGCAGTTCCCGAGGCTGTCCGTTCTCTGCCACGCGTGTAGTTCTGCAGAGGCGCCCCGCAGACCCTCGGCTTGCTGACCGCAGAAATACAGGGAAGGAGCGGCCCGTGCCACAGACGTGAAAGCTCCTGCCGACGCCGCAAGATGGCGGCTCGCCCTGCTGCCGGCACTACATTTCCCGGCGTGCCCCGCGGCGCGTCCCGCGAAATGGCCGCCCGGCGAGGGCTCCCGGCATGCCGCGCGGCGCGAGGACCGCAGCTCCCAGCGTGCGGCGCGTCGCCCCCCGGCCGCGGCAGCTCCGCGCCCGCCGCCGCTTCCGGGGAAGAGGGGGGGCGGGGCCCGTGAGGTCACGCAGGTAGCGGAAGTGATTTCACGTCCGGCGGGGCTGCGGCGCTGGGAGGGGAGCGGGGCGGCGGGCACGGAGCGGAGCGGAGCGCGGCGGCGCGGAGCAGCTCGGAGCCGGCGGCGCGGCGCGGCCTTCCCTCGGCGCGCAGGTGAGCGGCGCGGGGCCGCGGCTCGGGCTCGCCGCGGGGCGCGAGCGCGAAGGCCGCCCCGCCTCCTTCCGTCCCGCCGCTCCGCCGCCCGCGTCCCCGCGAGGCGGCGCCGGGCCGGGCGCCCCCCGCTGGCGGCGGCTCCCGCGGCGCCGCCTCCATTGTTCTGCGGCGCTCATCCGGGGCTCCGCCGCGCGGGGGGGGGTCCGCGGCGCGCGGCCTGACGGGACCCGGCCCCTCCCGCCGCGCGGGGGCGGCCCTGTGGGCGAACAAAGCCCCGGCCCCGCCCCTGCGGCGAGCGCGGCGCTGCCCGGGGCCGGGGGCCGCGTTGGCCGTGCCCGTATCCGTATCCGTGCCCGTATCCGTATCCGTGCCCGTATCCGTGCCCGTATCCGTGCCCGCGTGAGGCGGCGGCGCTGTCGGGGCGGCAGCCGAGCGCCGCGGTGCGGGAGGCGCCCGGGTTCTGTTGTTGTTCTCCTTCGCGTCTTTATGTTTCCCTTCTTGCTTTCCGTCTTTCTGCTCTTTGATTTCCCTCTGTCTTTTGTTTTATCCCTTTATTTCTCCTTTTTATTTCTTCGCTTTTTTTGTTTTTTCTTTTCCCTTCTCTTTTCGTGTTTGGTTTCCCCTCCTGTTTTTCTTTTTCCCTTTGTGTTACCGAGGCTCGGGGCCCTGCCGTGCGGACTCACGCCTTCCTATCGGCAGTAGGTGTCAAATCGCGTTCCTTTGTTGTTGGCCTTGAAGCGCTCGGTGCGGCTCGGGCAGGGCTGTGGCACAGCTCCATTGGCAGCCACTGCGCTGCCCCTCCTGCACAGAGCCGTGTGCTCTGCTGGGGTTCCATTCTTTGGAGGCAATTTCTCAGTTCTCTTCGTTTTTTTTTGTTTTTTTGTTTTTTTCCCCGAGTCTTTCCTTAAACATTTGCACTTTTCCCAGCCCCATCCCAGGACAGTTTGGGGCCAAATCTCACACCACTTAGTGGAATGCTCCACTTTTCTATTTCATAGCACTACTGATGCTGTTTGTCCCGCTGTAGTGCACAGAGCTTGGAGATCCTTTGCTCTCCACCCATACCCAGATGAAAGGTGTATCCGTTCCTATTCAGACTGCAGCAGTTCTTGTACTGTTTCCTCCAGCAGCCACTTCAGGTGCTGCCTTTTCTCAGGGCTGCATGCTGCTCTGCTCCGGGCTGCCTGCACCTGATGGCCCTGAAACAACTGAGGCTGATCTCATCCTCACAGCCGAGCACGGGCTGGTTGCTGATGAGCAGGGAAACAGCAATGTCTTGTGAGCTGCAGAAAATCAAAGGACTGGCAGTGCTGTGACTAAGGCCCTGGCCTGGGGCTTAGTGGCTGTTAGTGCAGGATAAGTGCTTACATGTGTGCCTGTTGAAAAAAATGTACGTATATATATGTTAATTAGCAGACTTGGGGCATCGTCAGAAACTTCAAACATTCATTTGGAGTTCTGGATCTTTCTTGAGGATCAACCACGTCGTCTTTGAGCAGTAATGGAAGGCATTCAGTCCAAACGTGAAGCACTGCTCTTCTTCCCTCTCCAAAACCAAAGAGTTCATTCTGCTCCAGTGTTTAGGAACTAGGAAAGCTCCTTGTGCTTCAACACAATTAACCTTTCAGGCTTTTACAGTTGTTGTTTTGCTGTTTGTTTCAGCCTTTATGAACTTTTCTGGGTGCAGTGTTTTCTGCACAGAAGCTCCCTGGAGTTTGGCCTGAGTGCCATACATTGCTGAGGCTTTATTTCACCTGCAGCACGCAGTGGTGTTGTGCAGGAAGCCCGGTGTGTGCTTCGTAAACAGCATGAGAAAATACATGCTGATTTTATATATATATATATATTTAAAGTAGGCTATTTAGACTCTGCAGTCTTTTATTTCTTCCAGTCCATATGGTGTGTGAGCTGGTGAACAGCTGAAGCTGCTTAAAGCCATTTCAGGCTTCAGTTGGGGTGTTACATGTGGTGCCTTTCCCAGGTTTGTGTTGAGCACTGCCTGTAATCCCTTGCAGGTCCGGACATCAAGAGAAACCTGTGTTCTGTTGCTGAAATACCCATTTGTGTCTCATTTGTTGCCCTGCCAGGGAGCTGAACTGACTTCTGCGCAAAGGTTTGCCTTCGAATTAGGACCCATGAGTGGAGCAAAGTCAGCAAGGTCCTTTTCTTGGTGCTCTCCTCAGCTGGGCACTGGGATGTGGCAGGTCTGTAGATATGAGGGATAGCAGCAGCTCGTGTTTTCACTTTGTGTTTCAGCAAGAGAAGCCCCACTACTGTAACAGCATTAGAGGCTTCTCTGTTGTGTGTATGGTAGACAGTGGGAGAAGCAACTATCTATTGTAACTAAGTCATTTCTGATGTGTAGACAGCTAAAATGTTGATTTGAGAATAAGATAGAAATGAATTTTTCTCAGTGCTGCACTGATTGCAGGTTGGTAGTACTGTTTGGTCCCAAACTGGAAATGGGTACCAGACACTGTGGCTGGTGTTAAGGCTTGGCTGTGACCACGTGAGTCAGGTCTGCTGGTTAGCACAGCTCCTGAAAATACACCAAAACACGAACATTCAAGTCTGACTGTTAAACGTCACTGCTGTAGGCTGCTGTCAAAGTACTCGGTGCTGCCAGTCTGAGTTCCAAGCAGTGCTCAGCTCTTCCAGCGTTCATGTCTCTGCTTAAGCACGGTGTAGGAAGAACAATAGGATTGCCTCATTACAGCACAAATGTTTTTGGTGCAGAGCACAGGATGTCAGCAGACGGGTCTCTGAACTTGAATGCTTTGTGAGCCTGATGGTAAAGCTGCAGTATTGTTGTTGTGAAAAAGACAAAATCAGGTTGGGTTTTGTCCTGCAGTGCCTGTGGGCAGGCACACCAGCGTGCTGCCTCCATTTTATCACTGTGCCTCAGCCTTGGTGCTCAGCAGCTGCTGATCCTGAGGTTTAAGCTGGGGAAGTCTCGGAATGGCCAGCAGTGGATGCGGTGTGCTGAGCCCTGGCACTTAGCAGAGCACCTTGTTCTGTGTGTTATCTCAGTCCCATCACACAGTGCAGCCACCTGCACCTTCATGTGGAGGTGCAGCCCTCCACGGGCGGGGCGACAGGTGAATGTGCACATCTTTAATTACTGCATTTCTTAATTGCAGACTTCAAATCAAAGAGACAGCCATGAAAGATCCCAGTCGCAGCAGTACTAGCCCGAGCATCATCAGTGAAGATGTGATCATAAATGGTCATTCTCACGAAGATGACAATCCCTTTGCGGAGTACATGTGGATGGAAAACGAAGAGGAGTTTAACAGGCAGGCAAGTCCTTTCCCTCTCTCAATGCCCCATGCTTTGCCTTGCTGTGTTGTACTGTAGGGAGTGGTGCTGTGCCTAGTGATCGGGGTGCAGGGCTGGGAATCCTTTTGTTTCTGGATTTCAGATGGGTTTGCTAGAATGGTCCTACGCAACAAACTAATGCTTCATTCACTTTTTTTTTTCTTATACTTACTGTCTGTAATCTTGCTGAAAGTGGGGGAGGTGCAGACTGTTCTGAAGCATCCATTACTTCCCCACTTCTGCAGGTGGGAGGAAGAAGTGTAGCTGACAGTCTTTACGTGGCACTTCAGCAGGGACTGGTCTCACTGGGCTGCCGAGCTGCTCTGGTTTCACAAGTACAAACATGCCAGCTGCAGTTTAGAGCTGGATGCACTCAGGTGCATACCTGCCTCGCCAGCAGGGCTGTTATTCACACAGGACTTGATGGACATAGTTGTTAGGTGACTTAATGCTTAAGTCCTGGTAGGGTTGCTTAACACTTAATTAACGTGTAAGTAACTTAAAGCTGGTCTTCACAACCTGGTTGGAAGGAAGCCTTGACTTCTGCTTCTACCTGGACACAATTTTCTCTCTGTTAGAGGCAGGGAGGAGCCCATCTCTTTCTGCTGCCCTTCTCTTAATGATTACTTGGCCTTTGTATTCAGGTTGTTGCTTTCTCTGTATTCCTATACAGTCTGAATGTGCTGCAGGCTCAGAAGTGGAGCTTAGGAAACAATATGTGTGCAGCCCTCTCCTTAGGGCACCCAACTAATCTGAAATTCAGGCTGCTCACAAAAAAACTTCTCTTTTGCAAGTGTCAGGATGGTCTCAGTGCTGCTTCCTGTTGGGTGGGTTTTTCTTCCTCAGGGACTGTGCTGTAACTAGCATAGCACCTGGGGAATGAGCTGGGAGGTGGGTGGCAAATCAACTGCTTTTCAGCTGCACTGTTTTCAGAGCAGGGCAGGTGGGGAGGAGGCGAGGACACAGCAGGCAGGTGCTGTGTGATGTGCTCCTCTTTGGAGGCACATTCCACTGTGAGAAGTTGAACGAGTTAATCAGGGGCTGGAGGATACAAATGAGCAACATTAACTGAGAGACATTTGGGGATTAAGCATTTATGACTTCTAGATTGGAAGCACGTGTAGGTATGCATCTGTGTAACAAAAACCTGGAGCTGGACAAACCCTGCTGTAACACTAGCTTGTGGCTGTGTGCCCACAGCTTCCTTTTGCCCACGCACACAGGATGGAGAACCTTCACAGAAAGGATTGCCTGGAGGTTGCTACCCCTTGCTGGGCTGCTTTACCAGCAGGGAAACTGATAAGTCAGTGTCTTGTGGGGTTTGAATTCTCTGCACAGTTACCTCAGGCATGCGGTGTGAGTCCCTGTTCTCCAGAAGTTGTGCATCTTGAGCACTAAGTGAGCTGGTGCATGTGTTCCCAGTCACTGGGAGCCTCAATTTGTGGGAATTCTGAGCTCTGACACTGACTTCAGGAATGTAACTGAATTTCCAGTTGAGGATTGAGTGCATGTGTGATTTCAGAGTGAAGGATAAATAAGAGAACTTACTTAAGTTTCCACTGAATGAATGTGTTCTGAATCATATTTTTTTTTACTCCCTTCTGGCAAGTCAGCTTCTATTTCCCAGCTTTCCTCTCTTGAGCTCTGATGCAGGACATGGAAAGTTTGTCAGGATCAACACCCTCCAAAGCTTGTTTACTGAACAGCCAAGCAAAACTTGCCTTTAATCTTTGCTGTGCGTATCAGTTCTGCATCAGTTGATCTGCCCTGCTTTCAGTACAGCAGGGCAGCAATCCCAACAACTGCTAACATCATATAAAGAACTCACAAGAACTGCACCCTGCAAATACAGGTTGGGAGAGATGCTGCTTGCTCCCTGCTCCAGATGACAGACAGTCGATTTTTCCCCTAGGAGCCTTACAGAGTGTGCAGAGCTGTGTCTGTCATCCCTGGTTCCCTTCCAGTGGGTTCTGTCACTTGGAACCAACATTCTGCCTTTCCTTGAGCTCATAGCAAGTTCCCGTTCCCCGCAGAAGTGCTACCTAAGCAGCTAGGGCTGCTGTTCTTTTCCAGCCATAAGCTCCTGGGATAAAGCACTTCTTGACACTAAAAAACAAAGCTGCTTGCCTTTGTGCAGCACCAGAGGTGTTCTGCCAGAAGTCCTGTTGCTTGGCTGGAAAGGAGGTCAGCTAGGTGCACAGACACTGAAGGGAAGATGTAAGCTTTCAGTAGCTTTACTGATAAGGCATTGTCTTCCCATTGAATAGATTGAAGAGGAGTTGTGGGAAGAAGAATTTATTGAGCGCTGTTTCCAAGAGATGCTGGAAGAGGAGGAGGAGCACGAATGGTTTATTCCAGCCCGTGATCTCCCACAAACAATGGATCAAATCCAGGACCAGTTCAATGACCTTGTTATCAGTGACAGCTCATCACTGGAGGATCTGGTGGTAAACTCACTTTCTTGTCATATTTCTAAAACTTGGCGTCTCTTTATCCATGGCTGATTTTTGTTGCTGATAATGGCAATAGAAAATCCTTTATGTGTAGGCCAGGGACTCTTAAACCATGTGTAATGGAAGGGGAAATGTGCAGCAGCTGAGTAAGGTATGCTCCCCCAGGTGATAAAACCTGTTCAGTGATTTTCTTCATAAGCATGCGGTGCCTTTTTTAGGCCATGGCATAAATTCAAGTGAGTTTGGGCATGCATATTTCATTATGAGAGAGAGGCAGCGAGTGGAGCGCTCTGACTGAGCTGCCATGGCAGGACTGCATCAAGTTTAATTCTGCATTTGTCAGCTCTTATATATTAGGTAGGTACAAATCACTCCGGGGTCTGATTTGGATCACTGGTACCATAGCAGGTCTTCTGCCTTAGAATTTCTATAAAGAGGAAGCAACTAAATAAACTGATTATTTCCCTCTTTTTTGCTCTACAGCTTCTTAGTATGGAGCTTAACTGGAAGGGCAGTGTGTACAAGTTGTCCTTAACGAAATGGGGAGTTACTTGTGTGTGGCACAGGAAGCATGCAGTCATATCACACAACTGCTGTGAAACTCAGATACAAGCCTATAAACTTTCCCAAGGTTAAGCAGCTGCAGGTGACAGCTTGGGACTCAAGAACATAAAAAAGCCTGCTCCTCTGTTTATTTATTTCTTTTTTTTAATAATGAGTAGCTTATTTTGGAGGTGCTGGCTGCCCACCTGTAAGTACAGAACACTGACTGTAGAGTAGCTGCTGCCCTGCTGGGGGGTGGACACAGGCACTGAACAATCCGGTGCTCGGATCCGTTGAATTCCCAGGGGTGGCTTAAGTTCCTGCAGCAAGTCTCTTCTTGCTTAAGAACAAAAAGCCTTGTGGTGCATTTAACGTAACTTCAGAAGAAGCTGTTTCAGCATTAATGGAAGTTGCTGGTCCTGGTGCATGCCTTGTTTGTTTTGTTACTCACTGAGCCCTCATCTGACTGAAACGTGCAGGTGGGGCAATGAAGGATGGATAGGTGCGAGCAGAGTGTGCTTCTGTGGTGAGTGCAGAGGCTTTCTGTGTGTGCAGAAGCCATGCAGTGTGCCTGGTGCTCTGTATGTTCTTAATGCTGTCCTCCTGGAATTGTGTTTCAGTTTGGAAGTAGAGGATGACAACGATTCAACTGGAGTTCTGTTTTTTCCTTCCTCAGGTCAAGAGTAATCTGAATCCAAACGCAAAGGAGTTTGTTCCTGGGGTGAAGTACTTAAATATTTGAGTAGACTGGGCCCTCTTTTGGTGGATGTAGCACAATTTCCACACTGTGAAGCCAGTATTAGAAGATTTAATTGTAAAAGCTCTCTCTTCTTGTCACTGTGTTACACTTATGCATTGCCAAAGTTTTGTTAGTCTTGCATGCTCAATAAAAAGTGCTGAGACTGTTACTAAGTAAATCTGTCAAAAGTTTAATGGAAACATAATTGGGCCCTGGCTCTCTGCAAAGGAGACAGTGAGGTAGGAAGCACCAGTCAAGTTGAGACAAAGTACCACATTTATAAACCTTCTGCAGACTCTGTCTTTTTAAGTAGGACTTGGAATTTGCTTTGGATGGTCTGTTTTTAACTAAAGATGTGTTAACTGGTGCTAGTTTGCACCTGATAATGCCTTAACTTTAAAATGAAAGCAAGGTTATCTGATTGTTATGCAGATTAGCTAACTTTCCTTTGAATTATCAGTATTGTTACTAATGTTACATTTTCCCCTTAAAAATATATATATTCATGCTTCTTTTGAGCAGCCTGAGCTGTAACAGAAATCGTACAGACCTGCACAGAGTCATAGATCTCAGCTACTGAACTAACATCCCAGCGGTGGGAAGGAAGGGATTCCCTGTACTCGCAGTATGTTATCATGTCAGCAACGTTTCACTTCCTAATTATGTTACAGGACATGTGAGTTTCATCACAGTTTCTTCCAAGAGCCCACATACGGACACAGCGATGTCTGTGGAACTTTTAGCGTACAACTTTATTATAGCTGGATTTAACCAAGCAAACCCTAGCATTAGTGATTTGAGTGGTGCTTTTCCCTTGCTTTGTTTAATCATCACTACACGATAGTCTACAGCACAACGACTTTTTTTTTTTTTTTTTTCTTTTAATAAAGCTAGAACAGTTTTGGCTTCTTAAACTTCATACTTGGGTAGGTTAAGCTGCCATACGTGTTCAGTGTGAATAGTGTTTAAGTTGAAAATATTGTAAAAAAATTATATTTTTTCAAAAATATTTAAAAAAATAAATAATAGTAGAAATGATTTGGTGACTGTCTCGTGAATGTGCATCTCAGGGAAATGCATTCCTCCTCCTGCCCAGAGGGGTTGTGGAGTTTCCTCTGGAGATACCCAGAGCCTGGATGCCTCCCTTATGCAGCCTGCAGTGCCAGAGGTTGGACTGGGGCATCTCCAGAGGTCCCTTCCAATCTCTGTGGTTCCGTGTTCATGTCAGATATGCTGTCTGTAAGGCTGCTTGTGACAGGATAGTCTGAACCGATCTCAGCTGGGGCTCTGACTGCTTTTTCCTCCCCTTCTATGAAGCCTGACTGCTTTGTGTGTTTGCCTGAGCATATTTTCCTGCGTTCTCATCGCTGCTAATCCCCGTTCAGCCCCACTGTTCTGGCAGCACAGGAAGTTCCAGTTAGCAGCTGACGGCGCTATATAAAACCCACTGCTTGACGTGGGCTTTGGGAGGCCCTGGCTGGGCAGCTGGAGCTGGGTGCTGTCAGTGCTGTTCTGTCATAAAGCCCCAGAGCTGCAGGAAGGGGTGGGCAGGCTGTGGGGTGGATGTGCCAGCAGCCCCTGGCAGCCTGCAGGTGGGACCTTGATCCACTCTTGCATCAGAACTTTGCCCAACCTTGCTGTTAAAATATATATATATATTTTTTTTTCCTCTTAAGCTCTGGGTAAACCAAATTGGGAACACCTCAGAAATCACAGTGCTGTTCAACAGGAAGAGAGGCACTGCCTCTGCACCAGTACTACAGCAGAACCAATTTGCTTTGCCAGTCTTCTCCAGCTGGCAGATCTGCTCTCCCAAAGCATTCATGTGTGCTGAGTGCTGCTCTGCAAAGCATCCATCTCATCTTCTGGCCACCCTGGCCAGAACTGCCTTTTCTTTTCCCAGATCTGCTGACCTTCCCAGATGTAGCAAAACTCTTCTGGTGTTTTTCTGCTGTTTTTGGAAACTGTTTAAGTTCAAGTCCCCAAAGATGGGGTTGGGAAATAGCAGAGCACCACATACAGCTGACTGGAGCTGAAGCTGGGGTTCCACCAGAGTCCCTGCAGGACTGGCAGCTGGTTTCCCTGCAGCCCTTGTCCCTCATCTCCCTCTGGCAGCTCTCAGCCCAGGTGCACCCAGCTCTGGGCGATTGGCAGCTGAATGCTTCAGTTGGAGTCAGCTTGCGAAACACCCAGGCTTGCTGTGATTTGCTTTTGTGCTTTGTTCTTATCCCAGGCAACTCTATAATATAGAAGGGTTTATTGGAGAGGTGAATGCAGTGGTGGTGTCTGCTGGGGGTATGTAGCTGGCATGTAGGTGTCAGGGGGAAGGTGCTGAAGGGCTCTGCTTCCAGCCAGGAGTTCAACCCTAGATGAGGAGTTTGGAGTGATCCCTGGCTCTGTGTCAGTTTGTGCTAAAATCAGTGCAGTGAAACAAAGTAGTCAGCCCCTGGCTTTTGGGAACTGCTGGCTTTGAATTGTTTTGTGTCTGTGTCTGTGCTGTGTTTGTCTGGGACAGCTATCTTTCTCTGCAGCTCTCCCAAGGGTGTCGTGTTTGGGTTTGTGACTAAAGCAGTGCTGATAATGCTGGGATATGGCTGTTGCTGGTGCAGCCCAATTGGTGGGAGGGTTCTTCTGTTACTGAGCCTGCTGGGTGCCGGTGTGCCCGTGGGAGGAGACAGGTGATTGCATTTGCATTACTTGGATCTTCATGTTGTTGGTTATCTCCCTCCTGTTCCTTTCTTCACTTATTATTCACTTATTTTTTCACTCAGAGGGTGGTGAGGTGCTGGCACACCTGACACAGCTGCCCAGGGAGGCTGTGGATGTCCCATCCCTGGGGATGTTCAAGGCCAGGTTGGATGAGGCCATGGATAACCTCACGTAACATCTGACCTAAAGGCTGGCAGGCCTGCCTGATGCAAGGGTTTGGAAGTTGGTGATCCTTGAGGTCCCTTTCCACCCAAGTCGTATGATTTTATGATAACCCATCCTTATCTTCTCCCGTGAGCTCTCTCTCGCTCTTTGTGCATGGGGTGGGGAGGGAGGGAGCGGCTGCCTGTGCCTGGCTGTGTCAGGGCCATGTCAGCCAGTGCTGCCTTCAGCTTTGGGTTTCAGCGTTGAACCCAGTGTCAAAAATGACCGGGGCCATGGGGTTTGGATTTTTTTTTAATGCATAACCTTAAAACGGACTGCTCTGAATGCTGGACCCAGTACAGCACCAGCTGCATCTGCTGTGCAGCCCTGCAGGAGCCAAGGGCACGGCGCAGCCTGGTGCTCCCGGTGCCTCGATGGAAGCTGCTGAGCTGCAGCAGGGCTTTGAGCATGTCTCAAGGCAGCGTGGGCTGAGGCCGGCGCCTGGGAGCCCTGCTGTCACGGCAGCCCCACGCTGAACCAAGTCAGTACCATTCCCACAGGCAGTGCCTTCCCCCAGCACTGTGTTGGGAGCGGAGGGCTCGCAGCCCGGGCGGTGCTCTCTGATGGGAGCCCAGCGCTTGGCTCAGCCCCTCAGCAGACCAAGCTGTCACACCTTGGTGCAGACAGCCGTCCCATCGGTGCCGTCCTGTGTGCCATCATCTGCTGCGTGGCTCTTCTTTGCCCGCCAGGTGAAGCCGGTGAAGAGCGGGCAGATGGGCACGTGGCGCAGCCAGCGGCTCCTCCTCACTGCACTCATCCCAAAGGGGAAATCGTAGCTCCTCAGATCGGCAGAGGCCGTGCTGTCTGCGTGCGCACCCGCCTTCCACTGCACCAATCCCCGCTCCTCCCGCGTCCCTGCGGGCAGACACAGCTGCTGTGCACTGGGATGCCCACCCCAGCCCCGCGCCTGGCCTGCTGCACGTACCTGGGATGGTGTTGTCCAGGATGAAGGCGAGGGTACCTCCCACAAACATCTCGGTGGTCAGCAGCACCGTCAGGATCTGGTCCAGCTCGGGGACGCCTGCGGGAGGGACAGGCTGAGCGGGACAGGGAGTGCAGGGATGGGGAGCACGGGGCTCGTTGCGTGTGCTGCATCCCACGGTTGGGCACATGGTGTTCAGAGGTGCCGCTGCCCACTCATAAGCTCTCCTGTGCTGCTTTGAGGTTCATTGAGCTGCATCTTGGAGCTGCCTTCCCAACTTACGTCACATTTGCCCTACAAGTGCACTTACCACTGCAGGTTAGCAAGCGGAGCCACGTTAAGGTACACAGACTGAGAGATCTGCCCCGCTCGCCCTAAGCGCCATCACACCGGGATGCTGCTGGCAAATAGTGTGAGGGGCTCCTGGTACCTGTGTTAATGGCCTTGGGGTGGGCGTCCAGGTAGTTGGGCAGCGTCAGCCCAAAAAACATGGAGAAGCCCAGCACGAAGAGGTTGCGGGAAGAGTTCATGTCAACGAATTGCAGATTGGAGAGGCCGACGGCCGTGATCATGCCTGCAAGAAGAGATGTGGCCAAGTGCTGTGGGACCTGCAGTGCTGCAGGACAGGACAGTCCTCGGTGCAGCTCCAGTGCCTCCCACTGCTCCCTGTGCAGCACGGTTACCGAACAGCGTGCAGAACATCCCACCAAGGATGGGGTCGGGCAGTGAGGCGAACAGCGCGGTGAACTTTCCGATGGTGCCCAGGATGAGCATGATCCCAGCGCCGTACTGAATCACCCTCCTGCTCCCCACCTGCTCGGGGGGACGCAGGCGATTCATGGAGGTGACTGCAACCCCCTGGGGATGGGGAGTGCGCAGGCCGGGCGGTACCTTGGTGATGCCCAGCACCCCGATGTTGGGGCTGGAGGAGGTGGAGCCATTACCGGTTCCCATCAGCCCCGCGATGATGCAGGAGATGCCTTCTGTGAAAATGCCCCTGGGGGATGAACAGAGGGTGCCGTGCCCTGCGGTGGCTTTGGAGATGTGCCCAAGGTGTGGGGGTGTGCCAGTGGGGAGGAGGTGGCCCTGCACCACCGGGAAGTGGAAGCATGAAGCAGCCATGGGCACAGAATGGAAGCCAGGTGCAGGCAGTGGGGTTCTGCCAGGGTGCAAAGTGATGTCCCCGTTCCCGCAGCGCTGCCATACCTGTTGATGGCATGCACTGGGGGTGCAGGCGCTCCTGACAGCCGCGCACAGGAGTAATAATCCCCGATGGACTCGATGATGCCAGCCAGTGTGGCACTGAACATGCCCAGCACGGCTGCTGAGGTCACCGTGGGCAGCCCCCACTGACCTGAGGGGAGCAGCACCGCCATGGGGATGTGCCAGCAGCTTGGGGTGTGTGCCCCTGGTGATGCTGTGCCCACTCCCTGCCCGTGTGGCCACGTGTCACTCACAGGGGTAGGGGAAACGGAACCAGGGGGCCACCGAGAGGATATTCCCACGCGCGTCCGTCCGGGCCTTGTAGCCATACTCCTCAGGATGGCTGGGGAACACATCAGCACGTGTCAGCACATAGCAGAGCAGCCACATCACCATGATGGCCAGGATGATCTGCGGGCAGTGATGGGGACGTGTGGGGATGGGGACACCCCCAGCAGTGCTCCGCAGCGCCTCCCAGCCCCATCCCTACGGGGAACATCTTGAAGATCTGCACGCGCAGCAGGACGAAGCCGTGTCCCCAGCGGTACCCAGGCAGGCGCAAGGCGACGTTCCGAAGGTACTGCGCAAAGAGCACGATGAGAACGATGGACCTGCGGGGAGCAGAGGGCCCTGAGGACACCAGGGATCAGCAGGTGCCACCGGTGCCACCTGCAGCATTGGCACGAGGGCCTGAAAACCATCCGCACACTGATCGTGGTGCCGTACAGTGCGGCGATGCCCCAGTGCGAGCCGGCCCGCTCGCCAGCAGCCTGGAAGACGGAGAGGCCGATGAGGGACACGGTGGGGGTGACGGTGAGCGGGCCGATGTAGCTGAGCAGCGCGCCGGGCAGCCCCAGCAGCCCGATGAACACTTCCACCAGGCTGGACACCACGATGGCCCCCTGGATCTGTGGGGCGACACGTGAGCGGGCGCGGGGCGGCAGCGGGGCCACGCGGGGCAGGGCTGGGCCGTACCTCCCGCATGCGGGGCTGCCAGATGTGGGAGGTGTTGAGCGGCAGCACCCAGTTGCCATAGATCTGCTCTGGGGACGGAGAAGGGAGGAGGTGAGCGTCGGGCCGGCGGGCGGCGTGGCGTGCTGCCATCGCGTGCGTTCTGGTCCTACCTTCGGGTGGGCACCGCCACTTCTCCAGTGCCAGGATGGCCTTGGCGGGCACCAGGAAGGCCAGCGCGCTCGCCTGGAACAGCGGCAGCCTGCGGGGTGGGAGGGGTGGCTGCAGCCTTGGGAGGCGTGTGGGCCGGGGGCGGGGGGAGCGGCCCTACCTGATGCCCACGGTGGTCTGGATGAGGGTGGTGATGCCGACGCAGGTGAAGATGGTGCCGATGAGGTAGCTGACGGTCAGCTGGTCCTTGCCCACGCACAGGCTCTCGGCCAGCAGGAAGGGCACGGCGATGGTGCCGCTGAAGCAGGTCAGGTAGTGCTGGGGGGACGGCGGTGGGGTTGCTCAGAGGGGAGGATGTGGGAGGCTGTGGGGATGCGGGGGCCGTGCCGTACCTGGAAGCCCAACAGGATGCAGAGGTACCAGGGGGGCACGTCCTCGATCCGGTACAGCATGTCAAACTGCCGCCGAGCTGGGGGAGAGCCGGGGTCCGCCACGGGGCCCTGGGGAGGGCACGGCTGAAGGGGAAGCGCTGAGCCCACCGCCAGCCCCGGGGGGCTTAGGGACAGGGATGGGGACAGTGCTCACCCTGCCTGCCCCGGGGGGACGCTGGGGGCCAGAGGGGGCGAGGGCCGGGCTGGTGTCCTGGCGGCAGGGAGAGGCAATGGGTGGATCGGTGTTGTGCCGGATGTGCCATGGGAACCGGGCTGTGGCCTCCTGGGGACGTGGGGACACCTCCCAGCCACCCCCGCAGGGCTCCGGGCCCCTGGGCGCTGCCCCAGGGGGACCCAGTGTATGGTGGTGGGGTCCCCACTGTCCCCGTGGCGACTGTAGCACCCCACAGGGGCCATGATTCAACCACAGCGTCCCACCACGTCCCTGGTGTGTTTTCCCTGGGCCTCACCCCCTTGAGCTCTCCCACCCTTCGTCACCCCAAGGTCCTGTGCCCCTCCCCACCTGCCCCCTCCCCAATGCCCGATGGGGACGGGTGTAGGGATCAGGGTCAGAGCCGCGGTCACCTGGGGCTGGGACAGTTCTCCCGAGTGGGTCCCCATCCTGGGCAGTGCGGGGATGTCACCGCGCGGTGGCTTATATTGTGCCGGGGAGGACTTTACTCTGCGGGTTGTGAAACCAGGGAGTGTGGTGGTGGTGAGGGATGAGCGATTAACTGCTTTAATTAGGGCTGGCACCGCCGCCCACGCCACTTTGGTCAAACATTAAGGTGGAGGGTTACAGAGTAACAGCGGGATTGGGGCACGGGTGCCACCGGGGATGTCCCCACGAGTGCAAACAGATGCGGAGCTGGGATGGTGACAGCAACAGCCCGGCGTCCCCAGCATGGTGCCGGCAGTGCCACCTCCCTCAGCGTCCCCTCTGCGTGTGTCCGGTGCTGCAGTACGCGGTTGGCTCCAAAGGTCATCCGGCATTAAGCATTAACCATCCTCAGTGACGGCACGTGAAGGCTGCAGGCTACAGCTCGTTCTGCAGCGCCTTGGGGGGGGCTGAGCCTCCTGCCTTGGACCCCCCCAGGTGGGCGCACGGCCCCTTCTTGCCGTGGCACAGCAGCTCCCGCAGAGCGGTGGGACCCCGTCGGTGCGCTCCGTACAGCTGCTCCTCGCTGTGCTCGCCCACAAGGCTGTGGCACATCTTGGCCAGCCTGCGGGCAGTGGGAAGCGTCAGGACGTGGCATGTTCCCATGTCCCCCCCCATCCCTGCAGTGCTCACCTGCCCGGCCACGGCCCCCCCATCACTGCCACGCTCATTGCCTCCTGTCCTGGCAGCCCCGGCCCTGTCAACCGCCGCTCTCCGCTCAGCTCCTGCACGCCGTAACTGCAGGGGGACGTGAGGTTGGGGTCTGCTCCCACGGCCCAACCGCCCTCTGCACTCTGCAGAAGGGTCGCACCACTCACAGCTCCCAGTCCTGCGAGCAGCTCTGCTCCAGCACCTCCACGTAGTCCGACTCGCGCAGCGCCTTCCTGCCCTGCTTCGCCTCCGCGCGGCTCAGCCACCCCTCCAGCTGGGCAGGAATTGAGGAGAAAGTGGCCGTGATGTGGCCATGTGCCGTGACCCCTCTCCATGTGCCGTGACCCCTCTCCACGCTGCAACAGCCCCTCTCCATGCACCACCACCCCTCTCCATGTGCCACGACACCTCTGCATGTGTCACAACCCCTCTCCATGCACCATGACCCCGCTCCCAACCCAGTACCCCCCTTATGGATCCCCAGCAGCCAGAAGCACTCGGCACAGTGCAGGGCTGCTGGTGGATGTTCCCCCGCACCTGGAAGGCGATGGCGCGGCACGCATCACAGCGCAGGGCTTCAGGCATGTGGGGCGAGAGCCGCTCCTCAGCACTCATCTGGGGCGCAGGGATGCTGTGGGATGAGGATGGGGCCTCAGGGTCCCCACATGCGTTCTCGGCCACCGTTCTTGCTGCCAGGCTGAGGGCCACAAACAGCACCAGCACTGCCTGCATGCTGCTGCCCTGGCAGTGCTGAGCCATGCTGGAAGCAATGGGGGCGGGCACAGGAGGTATCACCCCCAGGCACCCATGCGCGGCCGATGCACCTGCATCCGGCTGACACTCTCCGCCGCCGTCTGGCCCTCAGTTATGCTTTTTGGTTTAATTCAGAGTTCTGGTTTGATTCAATCCTGCCATGCCTACACCCATCCTCCCCCAGATCCTCCCTGGGAGTGGCTCACCTCCTCCTCTTCCTGGGCTTGTGACCCCCATCCCCACCGGTGCCATCTGCAGTGCCTGAGGCTCTGCTCAGAATGTGCCCTGAAAGGAACATTCGTGCCCCTTGTGTCCCCTTTACAGACAACGCGGACACGGATGGGTTTGTAGGGTTAATGCTGGCCCAGCACTTTTATTGCTATGTTCAGGAGTCTTTGCTGCAGCTGCACTGCCTTTGTTCATCGCCCTTGGGATGGGAGCAGCAGGATGGGGGGAGCAGGGCCATGCACATGGTCCCTTTGCTGCTGTGGCCGCACTCTCACAACTTCAGGAACCCTCTGGGGCACATTTCCCCATTCCTTCTAGGAGCCAGTCAGGCCCAGGCAGTGCCCAACGCCGGCTCAGCCACAACCACGGGGTCCCTACAGCCAGGGCTGGGGGCGATGTGGGCTGGCACTGCATTTGGGGATCACATGGAGGGCAGTGGTCCCTTCTCGGTGCTGGCAGGGCTGGCACGGGCTGGGGGCTGGCTGGGGCTGGGGCTGGCCCGCATTCCTGTGGGGATGTAATAGGGGCTCTCCAGGTACCCACAATCAGGTCCCGCAGTTGCAGGTGGCCCCTCTCCCTTAGGATCCGGGCTGAAGGTTCCGGGGAAGCCCCCAGGGTTTTCGGAGGTTGGTGGCTGGCCCTGCAGGTCAGGGTGTGCCGGGGAGGAGGCAGTGGGCAGCGAGGGTGCTGGCAGCCCAGGGAAGCTGCCATAGGGCATGTAGGGTGTGCCATAGAGCATGGGGTTGAAGGGAGCATGGTAGAATCCAGCGTGTGAGGCCACGGGCACCGATGGGATGAGCACCTCCATGTACTGCCCTGTCTCTGGGTCGTAAAGTGTTTTCAGTTGGGGCTGCCGTGGCGCTTCCATGTAGTAGCATTTTCCACTGTCGGGATCAACGAGCATCTTGCGGTGTGCGGAGGGGTGGGGAGCAAAGGGCCGTGGGGGGCTCGGTGTGCTCTTGCTGCCCGGTGAGGATCCCTCAGTCCTCCGGGGAGCATCTTCCATGTGAGGTTGGGGCTGGGCTGGAGGCACAGCAGTGGCCAGAGCATCAGAGGGCTGGGAGGGCTCAGGGAGGGGTTTGCTCCAAGGGGCTTCCCCACCAGGATGGGAGGACACACCAGTCCCCAGAGGAACACTGGCTGGGCTGGGGAATAAGGGAGACCCAAAGGAGGATCTGGCCACGTTAGATATTGATGGGTACCCAAGGGAAGTAGGGTCTGGGTTGCTGACCATGGGGGTTCCAAAAGATGAGCTGGCTGGCATGGGGACAGAGGGGGTCATAAAGGGTGTGCTGGATGGGTTGGGGACCAAGGGGGCACCAAAGGTTGAGTTGAGTGGCCTGGAGAATGGAACGGTCCCAAAGGACGTCGTGGCTGGATTGGGGACCAAGGGGGTCCCAGAGGATGAGCTGGCCCGCTTGGGGACAGAGGAAGATGCAAAAGGTGTGCTGGATGGGTTGGGGACCAAGGGGGCCCCGAAGGATGAGCTGGCTGGATTGGGGACAGAAGGGGTTGCAAAAGGTGTGCTGGATAGATTGGGAACCAAAGAGGTCCCAAAGGTTGAGTTGGGCAGCCTGGGGACTGAAGTAGTCCCAAAAGATGGAGTGGCTGGACTGGGGACCAAAGGGGTCCCAAGGGGTGCACTCAGTGGGTATGGGAACAACGGTGTCCCAAAAGAGGAGGTGGCTGCATTAGGAACCAAAGGGGTCCCAAGGGATGTGCTGGTCAGGCTGGGGACCACAGGGGTCTCAAAAGATGCTGGGTTGGGGACCATGGAGGCCCCAAGGGACGCACTGGCTGGACTGGGGACAGAAGGGATCCCAAGAGGCATACTAGTTGGACGGGGGACCAATGGTGTCCCCATGGGTGCAGTGGCTGGATTGGGGACTGAAGGGGTCCCAGAGTGCGTGGTGGCTGAGTTTGGGACCGAGGGGGTCCCAAAGGACACGCTGTTGGGGTGGGGGACCAAAGGGGTCCCAAAGGAGGTGGTGCCCGGGCTAGGGACCGGGGGCACCTTTGGCACTGGGGAAGGTTTGGGGGCTTTCACAGGAATTGTCAAGTAGTTGGAGTTGTCTGCCTGGACACCAGTAAGGTGTGGATCACTGGCTCCCAGCCACTTCGTTACGTGCTCCATGGTCTCCCTCTGTTCCAGTGGCCTGCCGGCAAGTGGCACAGGGGGAACAGAGGGACCTTCACCAGCCTCCCTTGCTTGAAATGGCGCAGTGGGGCGAGTGCTGTCTGTGGGGCCATGGTTCCCTGCCGAGGCCAGCTGGCTGCCTGGCTGCTCACAGGTGGGCGGCTTCAGTGCACTCCTCACCACTGATTTCACATCCTGGACATTCCCTGGGTTGTCCCCACTGCTGCGATGTTGGTCTGCTCCCGTGCCGTCCCCTATGGTGACACCGTGACCACGCTCCTCATCCTCCTCTGTGGGACTCATTGGTGGTGGTGGGAGGAGAAGGGTCTTCTCCGTCCTCAGCACAGCACTGCTCCGAGCCGGGGAGGCCTCCACAGCCACAGGGGACCGAGGTCCGACCAGGACATGAAGGTGGCTCTCCACGTGCGTTTCTTCCACAGTCCCCACCAGAGACGGCACATGGATCTCACTGCGCTGGCGGCACGTGGCCGGGCTGGGCTGGGGGCTCTTGGTGGTGGCTGCCTCTCTCCGCACAGACTGCACCTTGCTGATCTGCACAGGTGAGCCCTGCGCTGGGTGGCTGCTGGTGGACGCTGCCGTGCCCTCGGTGCGTGCTGGTGCAGGCTCTCGGACACCATCCGTCCCCACGTCCCCTGCTGCCGGTGGCACGATGCTCGGTGCCGGCTCGCTGCGTCGGACCGAGGTGCAGTGGATGATGAGCGGGGATGGCGGCTTGGGTTCCCCACTGCTTTCCCCACTGGGGCCAGGAGCCGGGGGTCCGCGAGCAGCACCGAAGCTGAGGCTGTAGCTGCTCTTGAGCAGCTTACGCACGTCCCGTGGCTGCGGCACCAGCCCCTTGCCTTTGCTGCCTGGCTCAGTGGGGGTACCCACAGAGATCCCAGATCCCGGGGGCTCTCGGGGCGCTGGCGGTGGCTTCTCCTCCCCACGGCTCTGTGGCCCCAACCTCACATCCCGTGCCTGGGAGGTGAAGATGCTCCGGGGTGGCACGTCGGGAGGCACCAAGCTTTTGGGCTCAAAGGGGACGAGCTGGGGCCTGCTGGGGCGGATGGCTCGCTGCCTCAAGCTGGGCCACGGCTTCTGTGGCTTCTCAAACTTGGGGGTGATGGCCGGCACCTTCCCATCCCCGCCGCGGCCTTCGAACAGGGCGCGCGCTCGCCAGTAGGGAGTCCTCTCGGCGGAGGGCTCGGCAGCAGGCAGGCGCTGGCACTGCACCACCTCCTGGTACCGCATCCTCTCGTTGAGCTCATTGAAGGTCTTCTTCAGCCTGCAGACGTTCTCCCGCGTCGCCTCGCTCAGCACCACACCCTTGGCCGGCCGGTGGGCACCGATAGGCCCCAGCCCCATGTCCACCAGCCTCACATCTTCGGCCGAGGCGCTGAGGTCGGACTTGGACAGCGAGCTGGACTTGCCTTCCATGCCGTCCCCAAGTAGGTCAGTGCCGGCCGAGGATGGCCCCGAGGAGGTGGAGCTGCCCCGCAGCGCCTTCTGCTGCTCCATCTTGATGAGCTGCTCGTACTGCATCTTCTTGGCCAGCACGTTCTTTACCAGGCTGGAGGCCATCCGGGTCTTGCTGGTATCACCCTCCAAGGAGGCCGTCTTCACGAACTGCTTGTAGTTGAACCTGAAATCCTCGCCGCCAGCCCTGCCCTTCCCCGGGGGCTCCTTCCTGGCGGGGGGCAGAGGCTGCGGGGCTGAGCTGTCCCCCCACGGGAAGAACCCCGCCTCCTTCCTCTCCTTCCTCTTCAGCTGGATCTGCCGTTTGGGGACAGTCCTCCTCTTGCCATACCCCTTCTTGGCGTCGCCGCTCTCCAGCTCCACATCCACGCACTCAAACAGGTCCTTGGCCGGCACGCCGGGCAGCTCCGTACCGCGGGGCTCCCCGCACGCCGCCCACCGCCGCCCGCCGCCGCCGTCCTCCGACAGCGAGTTGGAGAGGCTGGACGAGCTGCACATGTCCAGCCGGGCGCCGGGGGGGCCCGACAGGCTGCGGAAGGACCTGGCCGTCAGCGCCCGCACCTCGCTGTCGGCCTCATCCGAGTCGCTGGCCCCGCCGCCCCTCCGGGCCCGCCGCCCCTCGCCCAGCATCGCCGCCGGTGCCGCCGCGCACGGCCGCTCCACGAAGGCGACGACGGGCGGCCGATCTCCGCGGAGGGGACCCATCCTGCCCCCGCGGCCCGGCGCCGCGCTATTCTTAGCCGTGACGGACAGCTGGGGCTGCCGAGCGCGCTCCTCCCGCAGACCGGAGCCGGGGCCGTGCGGCGGGGGGCCCTCGGGGGGCACGTAGGGCGGCGGGGGAGTGAGACGGCCAGCATCGTCCTCTTCCAGGAACTCCAGGCAGTCCTTGAAGGTGTCGGTGGTCTCCGAGCACCGCGCCGAGTGGTAGGAGGAGATGGAGGAGTCGGACACGCTCTTGGGGAGGTCGTCGCGGGGCAGCACGGACAGGCGGCCGTCCTCCTCCCAGGGGGACTCGTGTCGCTCCGCGCCGTCGGGCAGCTCGGCAGGGCGGCTCGCGTCCCTCTTGCCGCGGGGGATCATGGTGGGGACGGGCCCGGCGCTGCTCGACCTTCTGCTCTGCTCGCAGCCGTGCCCGGAGCTTCGATCACATGTGTGACGGCGGGCGCCAGCCCGGGGGGGCGATGCCAAGCGCCGGGAGGTGCAGGAATGCCTCCGCCGCCCCCGGCTCAGGGGTCTGCTATGGGGACGGTGCCGCCGTGACCCCTCGCTGCTGCGCCGTGACCCCGCAGGCCGGGTGCCAGCACGGTCCCACGGGACGCATGGGCGTGTATCATCCCCTGGGGTGACGGGAGCACGCGGCGGCCGTGCCGCTTGCCACCCCCGGCGGCGCAGAGGGCGGCTGAGGGCCCGCGCCGCTCCTCCATCCCCATCCCGTCCCCACCCCGGGAACGCGAAGCCCGGCCCCAAGCGATCCTTCCCATAACATCCCCCAACCCAACAGCGAGCGGCGAGGAGCAAGCGTGAGCTTTGAAATCAAACCGGCACCGAACGCCTCCGGGTCTGACACGAAGGACGGTGTTAATTAATCGTCTAATCGCCTCGTTCGGAGGTGCGGAGGTCTCGGTGCGCCCGGCCCCATCCGGCCACCCCCGCGGGGTCAGCCCCGGCTCTGGGGGCTGTTTGCGGGCAGTGGCAGCAGGTGCTGCGCGGCGCTGCCAGCCCCGAGGCAACCCGATGCCCCGCGCTGGTTTCACGCGGGGGCTAAATTTAAACTTGGCACACACGGGGCGGACTGAAAGCAGCCGGTGCTTAACCCCTCCCTGCCGAGACAGGGCTCCACGAAGTCGGCAGCGCCGCGGTGCCCCAAATCGGGCGGTACAGCACGGAGGAGGCCGCGCCGGGCATCCCAAGCGGAGCCCGGTGCCCGCCTGTCCTCCCGCTCACAGCGCAGGGACGCCCCGAGCGCAGCGGCACGGCGCCCACGTGCGCGCAGCTCCGGGGCCGGGGGCGTGGCCTGAGCAGCGATAGCCCCGCCCACAGCCAGGCCCCGCCCCCCGAGCGCCGCCGCCATCTTCCGCACCCCCGCGGCAAATGGCGGCCGGCCCGTCTCCTAGCAACGGCCCCGCGGCGAGCCTGCTTTCAAAGGCCCGGCTGCGCAAAGGAGCATGAAGGCAAGGCAGACGCGGCTACACGGATGTCTTTCTTTGCAGTGCTAGTCTCTACAGTGAAACATTCATAACTGTTCAACAGAGTAAAAAGATGCTACATTAAAACCATACCGGAAAACGCAGGACCTCGTAACAGCTGGAGGAGTTTGCCAATGAGAATCAGAATCACACGGCCAGCTTAGAAACATGTCACCGGAACACGGGATGAAGTAAACACGGCTGTCCCTTCCCCGCAGGCGGGCTGGAATCGGTGCCCTCTGCGCTTCCATCTCCTGCCTCAGCATCGCCGCTCTCAGCCCGCAGGCTCAGAGCTCTCCACCACAAACGACACGGACTGGTCCCTCTGAGAGCAACGAGTGCTCGGATCCTCGGTGAAGCGGCCACTCCGAGTGGAGCACTGACGGTCAGGCTGCAGGACTCGCTGCCTTTCACCCGCATCTCACTCACACGGCGCTGCAGGGACAGCCAGGTGTAGCAGCAGGACGAGGTCAGTGCACCCAGAGCTGAGCAGCGCTGTGAGCGAGCGAACGGCAGGTCCATAGGAAATACAGAAGCACGGGACGCTCGTCTGCTCTCCTGGAAGAACACGCTGTTTGGATGGCAGACGGACTACCAAAGAGACACGATTCAAACTCATAGCATTTCCCAGAGAATTAATGTACAAAGTGCCACTGGTCCTTGGAACCAAATATAGTGTACAGTATATTAAAGCAAACACAGCTCCACAGCTCGTGTTGGCCCCTCTCTGCACAGCACGAAGGAATCGAGTATTCAGACTTTGCAACAGACTCCTTCCCTTTTTTATACAGAGGAAAATAAAAACATAATTTAAAACAGCAATAAATAAAAAGGACAGAGGCCCTGGTCAGCCCCCTTTGTGCATTCCAATCAGACTGGAGAGCTTCTCACAGTGCTCGAGTTTCAGCGACTCTGCTTTCTGTTTTAACCGCTCATCTCTGTACAGCTTGGCCAAATTGGACAAGTCAGACTCTGAAAGATGAAAACGACACAGGTTAGGGTGAAGCTGTGAGAGGCTTCAAGTAACTGTTTCTCAGTGCTTTGTTAGCCTTAGGATTAGTTGTTAAGTTCATCTCATAACATGCACAGCTCCATGGAAATAACTTCTCTTGCAGAGAGGCTGTCAACTTTCCATAACTACTTGAGGATTTTTCAAAGAGTAATAATAGCCCAAAAACTCTACTAGAGCACCAACTGGGCAATAACAAAAACTAGAGTAATTTTTACTGCCTACGAAGTACAAAACTGCTCACAAACACTAAGTGTGCATAAGCTATGTGTGCATAAAACGGTAGGACACCATACCAGTATTTACAACTGCATGACATCTCATCCTGTCAAGCACTGATGTTCACCCATCTCTCCCCAGCACAGACCCCAGGGTGGGGTTACTCTACACCTGTCAGCAGTATTTCAGTGATGAGCCAAAAGGAAAGAGAACCTTGTGCCTACTTTTCCCACTGCTTTCTTAAGGCTGTCAGCTGTCTGCAGCCAAACAGGACTTACCAGCCCTACATCCCTGCCCGCAGAACTGAGAAATGCAACTCTTCTGGTGTACCCATTCTGCAGGGGCCCAGAACACCCATCTAGTTTGATACTTTGAAGTACGGACAGTTGGTTTTTTCATGCTGCACTTATCAGGATTCAAGCTGTCTGCCAAGAGGTTTGCCCAGAAGGCACTGTAAATTCTTTTAATTCTTCTACTTTTTTTGTTGTTGTTGTTGTTATTGATGACAGGAAGGTGAGTAGCTAGATAAGGGACTTGTCTGACAGGTCTCTGTGCCCTTTCATTAACGATATGATTCTGAATGTACTTTGCAACATGTAACTGAAATAATCCCACTGCTTCAATTACTTTCCCCCAGCAACTCAGGGAAGCATCTTTTGCTGATTAGCTAAGGAAGTCTTAATATAGTTTTCTCCCTGAAGAGCATTTTAGAGGCAGGTTTAGATGCAACTATGACAATAGCAGTGACTAGTTTCTGAAAAGGTCAAAATTCCCCTAAGCACAGGCTACCTGATGACATTCAATTTTTCAAAGAGCTTTTATACACCCTACAAGTCTCTCATTTTACAAAACCAGTTGGAGCACAAAGAATTTCTCAATAGGGCCTTTCATGTCTTATGTCCTCTGCTCTGTCCTACTGAAATTTAAAGCCATATGACCCTCTATCTATTTATCAAAAAGCTTTATAAACTGAAGGGCACAAACATCTTATTCTAGGTCAGGAATCAATTTCCAGTTTTTGTAACTCAAGTGCCACTCCAGCAGAACACAACTGTGCTAGGCACAGAGCCTTGAAGGCCCTTCAGCAAAACCAGACTCAGCTGACTGTCTCGAAGTTCAGAGTTCTACAGTGAAGACACTTGGTTTATACTTATCCAACTGGGCAAAAATTTACTGCCAATGTCTGCACTTCTTGCCAGCATTAATTCTGTCATGTAAGTTCCTTGTGTTTTTCCATCTTTTACACAGCTGTTCCTTCAACCTTCCCTGACTGAAGTTCTCCTTAAGGATCTCCTAAAATACTTATTTCCAACTACATATCTCCTTTCTGTTTTCTGTTCCCTACCTGTAATTCTCTCTGATTCTGAGCTCTTTGCAGTCTCACTTTACAACTGTGCTCCTACACCTGAACAACCACCTGTAAAAACCTATGACTTGTCTTTTGTCCATAACCATACCAAAGATGTTAGGAGACCAAAGCTGTCACATTATGCTGCTGTGAAGTGCCTGGCTGAACAATATCCTGATACATCAGTTGCTTCTCAAGCTTCTGTGGAGGTAGATGGACATCAGGTAGTGCTTTTCAAATCATAAAAGCAAGGACTGTAATTTAAGCTGTTCCTGTAACTAATCTGTGTCCTTTTTGCTGCTGCTAAATGTACCTCCAGCAAATAGAACAAATGTACTATTAATAGACATTCAACTGGCAAAAAAAGAGGCTGACCACAAAGTTAAACACACAAGAAGCAACGGACCAACGTTACGAAACAGCAGCTGATTAACAACTGTCTCAAGGTCCCCAGATAACTTTTCCCCAGCACTCCATCTTGTATTCAGTTTTATTTATCGACAAACTTGGCTGTACTAAAGTTAGCACAGCCTCAGCTGTGCTCAGTATCTGCTCTCCCTGGACTAAGTGGCAATCATTCTGAAAACTTCTTGTGTGTGTTTTTTTTTTTTTTTTTTTTAAATTAGAGTTGTCTCAAGCTACTGCTAAGGGAGGGCATTGTAAACATTTCTGCTACATGTGGTCGATGTGCATACAGTAAAAACAAGTTTAAGAGCAAAAAGCTCAAGAGGGGGTTGTTTTGCAGGCATTACTTGGCATTCAGCACTGGACCATCTCTGACTATCATCCCTAGACTTGCCAACCCCTCTGCTCATTTTGGGACACACCACTCCTCAGCTCAAGGTCTACATGAAAGAGACAACATGGTGAGTTTCAGTTGCACAAGGTTAATTAATATGATTTTTCCCATAGGGAAAAAAATTCTACTCCTATAACAAGCTCACACAAGAAGCCTGTGTATGGTTACTAGTAGCTACATTGTACATAGAGGCTGCCACTGCTTCCACAGCTGCACTGACATCACCAATCAAGTACACCAAAAATCAAGGGAATGTTTGGGGTTTTTAGGGTTTCCACATTTGGGCTTCTTTTATTTATCCATTTTTTAAACTTCAGAGTCTATACCTGTGTAGTTCTCTTCAAAGCAAGATTGGTAATTTTGGTGTGATATAAAAGAACTGCCTCTGGATGAAGAGTGCTGACTTAAAATAGTTCACAGATTTTTTGATGGGAAGGACAACACTACTGCTACCTCTTGCACTAGATTAAAGAACAGCAGTGACTAGCAGGTGATACAGTGCAGGGTTACAATGCATGCCTCCACACGTGGCACTGACTGACTCGGAATTAGCATGAGAAGAATGACTCTGAATGCTCACATTTTTGTGGTCTCCCTCCCTGCATTCAATTTTCGTTTTTAAGAGACTACAGTGAAAAACATGCTCTCAAATCATCTAAAGATAGAAAATGCAAATCAGTGCACAAAATAAGCACGGAGGCACTGTCTTTGAGAACTGATACCAGCAGCACTATGAAATTTTCACAGACACCTGAGTAGGCTTTGGGCTCTTCCTGCTGAAGTTTTAAGAAAGAGTTAGATGTCCTTCTCACAGAGCCAGCCGAAGTAAAACCGATTCTGCCTCAGCAAAGGAAACATTAATATCTTTTCTAGCCCAAACAATCTGTCAGAGCTAAATAAACGCAGCAGTCGTTAGTGTTTAAAACATCTTCACTAAGAGTTAGCCAAGCATACAAGTGGAGTGGAAAAACGTCTCAAATGGCAGAATCCACTTCCCACTTCTCTTTCAATCACTTAAAATGAACTCTGACAGCCCCTCAACAAAGTCAGTGTTAAGAACAGATGAGAGAAACACAGCTGCAAGATTTGAGAAGTTCGCTGCGCTGGAAAATGAAGTTAAAATGGCAGTGCTTTGTGAAGCACAGCCACCGTACAACTATTGGTCATAAGAAAAATAACTTACTTTGCTGCTTCTCTTTCCAGCAGCTGGTCTGAATATAGTCAATGTAATCTTTTTCAACTGTTCTCTCTAGCTCTTGAAGTTCTGCTCCTTGATAATTCTTCTCAAAGTTTTTATCAACATAGTAAGGCACCTGCAAGTTCTCTGTTTCTCTGCTAATAACGTGGCCTATGGACCTGTGAAAATATGATGGAGAAAACAGATTTTTCAGCTGTTCAAACACAAAGAAACGGAGAGACGTATCTTGTTAGGAACATTTCCAGAAGAGAATTTTTGCAACTACTTCTGAACAGTTACTTTCTGCAGGACGATAGCTCCCTCAGCCATGCAGTAAGGAAATTACAAGCCTCAGGCCATGAAA